GCATTGCCATACTGATATATAATTATAGTAATAATTAATGTACATTCGTAATTCGATGCATGCACCGATACTTTGATATACCTCGGCGCGGCTCCTGTTACAATATCGAGGAACGTAGTACAGAGAAGTTTGAAGGTTCTTCGATCGTCCGAGGCTTTTATGTCCTGGGGCATTTCACGGACACAACGCGAAGAAAAGTTTTCTTTATACCGTACGCGAGTTAACGAGAACGGAGGTATTTTTAATTATTGCGTAACAAGGATATAATATATTTTTCAAACGAATGAAACCTGTCGCGCTTATATTTGAAATTTTGTAAATTCAAATTGCAATTAAGTGCTGTTGCACGTCATTGTCGACTATACTTATTATTCTTAGCACATGTACATTGCTGCTAACACAAGGTATGCAGGCGTCTTTGCATTTTGTCGGATAAGTCTTAACAGGATTATTTTAAGTTTATTTTAATTACTTAATTTTTCAAACAGCCGAACAATGTTTGTCTGTTCTCTCGTTCGTACGATCGACGTTTTATTATCAGCCTTCATTCTTCCTTACAGTATGTCCATGTATATTCATATGACAGCGTATATTGCTTTGTATATTTTATAGCTCTTTTAGTACTCGGCACAAAATATTTTCTGCACTTCCAAGACGCATGTGAGGTAATATCCATTAAACGGTAATTGTTCGCGTTAAGTAATTCTTCTGCTGTAAGGATTACGTATGCGTACTTGATAAACCGATGCTCTTGCTGTATTACGCATTGTGCATGCTCCCAGCAATTACACATTGCGGCACGAACACAGTTAATTTCTAAGTGTCTTGCATATTGGTATACGTGGAATGATATTATTTTACGAGCACTCCAATCCTCAGTAATTCTCAATAATACGTTCGATCGGTAAACATTTCAGAAATAGATTGCTGCTCTTGGAGGCACGGCCAGCGAGCGAATTTAGAATAGTTTTTACAAATGGTCACGCACGTACGGACCCGTGCTATTTTACTTGACTGTAAAGCATTCGTGTTAGGTTAGGTAAATAATGTTTTTTTATCATAAGAATAACTAGGCGTTGGTCCAATTATACAGACTCGACAATTATAACAGTGTTTGTGTACGGTAGATTAAAAGTGGAAAAAAATTGTTTTGCTATTAATACACATTAGCATGTACGTACATAGGCTTTCTGATTATCACGAAAATATCCTGCTTGGCAAGATTTGCGGTTCTTTATCACAACTGTTAGCGTTGCTTAATATAAATTATTATTTTAACTGATTGTTAGGCTATCTTCTTTCCACGATGACTCTTGTGACACTTTTGAAGAACGAGTAAATATGCTGCTGTCAGCGTCGACTTTTCTTGCGATTTATGGGACTGCAAGTATATTAGGTAATATTATTCTTGCTGACGAGTGACGAGGTCGATCGGAGGTGTAAAAATTTTAACAAATTTTTTAATATCTTTATTCGTTTAATAGTTTATGGTACTTTTATTATTCATTTGCATGTACTCTATACTCCGTGTAGGCTTTTATTATCAGTAACGAAGTCTGCGAATAAATTCGTTCTGTTTATTCATTCATAAATCTATGCCGAATTATCTTGTTTGACATTTCTATCGTCACTGGGCTATTGGTCAATATTTGAATATATTGGACAATTTTTAACAGCGAGATTTACCAAACGATACGCAATTAATATGCGTGTGTTGAAAATGACTATTTCACACGAGATCGCACAGCTGTTATGCGAATTAATGAAATAATAATTGTTCATATCAATAATCCGAAATTATGAAATTCTTCAGAGATCAGTTGGCACGATTCTCATAAATCAGTTCAAGTAGAGCATCGTTAACTCGCATGATAAACCAACGTAGCACGAACAGTTGGATAATCCAAGGTTATTGCGGTTCTCTTAATAAAAACATACAGACAATTTGATATGGATAATCATGCTTATATATCTGTGCAGGCACGCGTCACTGAGTTCTCTCAGGCTTATGGCTATAAAATTACGTTAAGAGCCAATTGCTATACCGAGCCAATATTACATTTTCTCATCCATTGCTCCTATATACGATAAAATTTTTTAATTTGACTTTAGTAGACAGCCGGTATAATTAATCAAGTTCTAGTTAATTAAAATTGTTGACTTCCACGAAAAATATAACCACTATGAAAATCCATGGGATTTGTTAATATTAATTACAGTCTCATTACCATAAAAATACCAGTATACCAGATACGTTTCTATGGGTTCCTCTGTCAAGTCAACACGATTAATAAATATCAAAGGAAAAAGCTCCTTGGCTAATTGCTCGTACGCGCAGATGGAAAGTTTGCATATGGTCTTATACGAAAATTTTTTTGAGAATTGCCTTAAGACTAATTATTCATATTTGAGCTATATGAAAAGCCGAGCGGGAATGTCGATATAATTTAAAAAATTTTTTTTCATAAAATTCATAAAAATATTTCAATAGGAATATATTTGTAGATCTTTTTGAATTTCTTTAATGCTCCTTGCCATTTATCCATGCCTAAGACATGGGATTGCCGGGGGCTTGGATATTCTTGTAGCGGAAGCATCTCTTGCAATGGTTTGCTCGTTTATTCGCGTAATAATTTATTATCCCAGAAATAAGTACATCGAACGTATACACGTGGGGTACTGATGGACGGTAACAAGACACGGATATGCGCGTACGAATTTTCCGTATACAAGCCCTGCGAATCCTCGACGTGATTTCTCTCTGCGCTTATAAATCACTGGCGGTCATTGAATTTAGTCTGATTACAGTGAATCTCCATGAAAGGCCTGACTCAATATTTTACATACGATTAAGCCGGGATAACAGACATTCGCCATACATTTAAGCTTCCGATGAATCATTATAACATGTAAACTTTAACTTTAGAAAATACTTTGGATACAGACTTTTTCCTATTCTTCTTGTTTAATCTTGATCAATAGTTCGTAAGGAATCGGATTACTTTTCTTCCTCTTGAACAAACACGAACCTATATACATAGCTTGATGGATGAACGCCTTTTTTTTCTGGTACTGGTCCAGCGACCTGGGAATCTATTCTGTGTAATATATTTCGGCAAAAGTATCTGGCCTATCTTTAACTTATCAGAGACAGAAATAGTTGAGGAATTTTGCCAAAAGTTAAAATCTCACTGAGTTGTTTACTTTTTTCACACTGATTTACTCTGACAAACATCCCACTGAGTTACCGGTCCATTTGACTTCACTTAAAGGGTAAGATTCTCCGAGGATATTTTTAAGTGCCACGTCCCCATAACAGGTATATGATATTAGATTTCGATGGAGTCCAACGAGACTCTAATTTCTTATCAGAGCGACAAAAAGCAGTTACAGGTTTTTTACATTAGTTATCTGAAGAGATGAGTCGAGTGAAGCGGTCGCAAGGAGACGTTAAGGGGAGTGAAATTTAGACTCTATAATAATGGCTATACGGTCGAGGGAACAGGAGTGCGGGAGAGAGAGAGAGAATATCCGGGTCTAACATGACCTAACGGTGCAGATTAGAAGAACGCACTGATGCCGCTACTCGGAGATAAGAGTTATCAGCTACGGTTCTGCGTTTCAAGTGCTGCTCTGTATTAAGAGATGAATCGAAAATTCTCATCCTTCAATTTTTTTTTTTTTTTTCTTACTGGTCGAACAGCATTTTCTTTTTTTTTTGGGCTTAAAATTTGACATATGTTGCAATTGTTTGTTTACTCTAAAGAGTGTGAAACATATGGTACTCGTTCGCGGAAATCGTATTTTGCAAAAATTTGAATTTTTGATAACTTAAAATTTTTTATTTCTTATTCGTCGCATTTTTGAAACTCTGTCAGAACCCTCCTTTTTTTACGTGAAAAACATTCGCTTGGTGTTACTTTTGTGCAACTATAAATACCTTTTGCATTAGTGATAAGCCGCAAATAAAAGCCAATCGATACTTGATTCACTGGATCGTCAAGTTAATTGGATCGGATCATTAGGATTAGCGGGATTTAAATCTCGCTATACTCGATGACTACTATAGATGTAGATTTGCACGTGTACGCCTAAACTTGTTCTTTTTCTTTGAGACTTTATTATACATATAAGGCATTTTCGTAATCGTTAATCATTACTATCTTTTGTGTGCAAAATTACAGGTTTTACTTAAACGATCCGCTTAACGGGTCTGGATCATGTAAATGCACAGAGGCTTATAGCGAATATAAATAGAATAGCAAATAAATCATTTCTGTACCTCGAATAAAGCATGGAGTCAGGTTCCGCGTATTTCGCGGACTTTCCCATGGCGTAATACAACAGCGTTACCGGAAAACTAATTTCTGAAGAAATATGTAAAATCTTGAAAAAAAAACAAATTTTGACAAAAATTAAAAAATTCTGATTTTATAATCGAACTTCCGTCTATGGCACAAAAGCATTAAATATTCTAGAACAATTTTCACGATTCTAAAACAAACTCACGTAAATGATTTAGGTACCGGCTGGCATAGGAATTACAAATGTCGTGGTACTAAATACATCAATAGTAAAAATAGGTTAGTCCTTGGCTATGGTTCGTACTGTATTACGGTAACAATGGGAATAACAGCTCATTTCGTGGTACTAGGAAAATTACACTGGCAATTAAGTCTCCTCGCGTTATTCCATTGATCAAAATATAACGTTCCCAGAACGACAGTTTCGTATAGCTTTATGGGATAGCTATGGAGTTGTATAATTTATATATCTCTTATGTCGATTTTAAATAGTTAAGCAGATATAGGAAACTTAAGAAAATTTTTTCCAAGAACCTTTTTCTAGAAATTAAAAACCGACTCTTCATTATTAATACACATTTTATGTACTAATTTTCGCAAAAGTTCACATATAGTCATCTAGTACGCCATTACTATTCTCCAAATGTTTACCCAGAGATATAATCAGTTCTTCCTAATACCTTATTATAATTACAGATGCAGTGGCTTGCCGTTATGATGTGCCTCTACGCCGGGGTTGCCAGCGCACGAACGGAAGAGGATCAAGCATCAGCCACAAATGGAAATGGGATTTCCGGTGCATTACCTGAACAGTGTTTCTACCAGTTATCGTCGGAATGTCCGCCACAGGATCCCGGCGAATGTCCATGCAAGAGGATAATTTTGTCTCATGATAGTCCTGAGGCTCAGGCTGTTCTGTGCTGTAATTTAGACAGTCAAACTTTTGAGAGCGGATTGTCATGCGCAAGTAATTAAAGATTTATGAAATTGAAAATAAAATTTACATGGTCTTTTTGGCGTCCAATGTAATGCGTATTTGTAATTTACAGATTTTCCAGCTAACGTTACGTACGTTCATATCAGAAATGCCACGCTTGATACCTTCAATGCTAGCGAAGTCAGATGGAGAAGACTAAAGTCTCTCGCAATTACGGATGGGAAGATCAATCACGTTAAGGGACAATTTCTCATGATGACTCCTACGCTCTGTCTCAATCTCTCAAATAACGCTTTGGTTGAAGTCGAGAACAATTCATTCACTAGACTCGCACATCTTACCACTTTAGATCTGTCTTATAATAATCTTACGCATCTACCTGCCCTCAATACCATGAACGGTCGAGAATTCTGGCTGGATATTTCAGGTAAGAAAGTACTTTGGACTCTGTCAGATTGCTTGGACAGCACGACGAATCGTGTGAATGTTTTTGTGCTTACCTTGGATACAATTTTAGGTACCAATACATTATGGTGTCACGACATTTATCAATATATCAATAAGACAGGCGAGAAACAGATCAATTTCAACAGGGAAAACGAAACTGTATGTTCTGCCAGTAAAACTTGGCACTGGTTCAATGCCACTGAACAAGTTCCTCTGAAACAAGTGCGCTATCTAAGCTTGGTAAGTTTTTGATTGAAAAATATATTTCAAGTTTTTCTTGCTTACTAGTACACTTGATTGATACAATTAAATATCTTTTATATTCGTTAACTGATGGCATTACGCGCGTTACCATTTTGGCATTGTTTGTAATAAATTGCCTTCAATGTAATTGTCAGCTACAGACGGAATGCCCGAAGGGCGAAGCATGGCAGTGTCAGTGCAACTTCAGGAGATTAGACATAGTGAAAGGGAAGCAGCCAACTCTAGCTGTGAATGTGGATTGCAGTGGAATTCAACTGACGGAGTTGCCGGAGAAGTTGCCTCGTAATACGATAGCACTCAACGTCTCTTATAATAATGTATCTATCGATTTAATTATAGTCAACTAGACTCACATCGTGTCCCCAGGTGTGAAACAAGTATTTGAAAAATAACACGTTCTTACCTTACAGATTACGGTGCTCGACGACCTGAGTACGAATCCTTGTTATCAGGATATCCGTGAATTTTATGCCGATTACAATAATATCTCATCCATCAATAAACTGGAGGGTTCCAAATTTTTGGACAACTATGCTCTTTTAAGCTTGCGTTATAATAAAATTAAGTCGGTAGGTATATATCACTTGTTTCACTTTAAAATTATATTACTTTTGCTTTGTCTGCTTCTCATGACAGTTTTTTATATGACAGCTTCCAACATACATCTTAAGTCCTAATGCTCGTGACAAGAATTTCGGGAGTTCAAGACTCGTGAAACTCGGTGGTAACCAATTACACTGCGATTGCAACACGGCCAAATATTTAAAGGTGAGCGTAAGATTGTTTACGATATTATAAAATAGACTTTCCTCATTTATATCGAATTTGACAGATAAATAAATGTATTTATATGAATATTTGAATTTCGATTAAAATTCAGTAGATATTTTCGTAATCATCTGCTCGTGTGTACTTGTCCTTAGGTATGGTTACAAACACGCATTCTGGATTCGGACGAGGTATTGTGCGAGAATGTCAAAGAAAAGGTCGTCGATCTGGAGCCGTCGAAAATGTGCGTCTACCCGGGTGATTGGACGGATTATATATATTATATAATAGCGACAGAAGTAATATTACTAATTAGCCTTGTGGCCAAAGTCTCCTATGATTACTGGGTCTTTAAGACTGCAGGATACCTTCCATGGCCAGCGAACAAAATGCCAAAATTACCTTGTGACTGGTTATGCGAGACATAACTCCATGAGTAACGGTAAACTCATTATTTCATCGATATTTGTGATAAATTCTTAGTAACAGGACAGAAACGTGAAGAGCCCTTTTTTATCTTGAAAATGAAATAGATCACGATTTTATGAATAATCAGAAATGGGGAAAAGTTTTATCCAACTTCCCACGTGGTGCTGCATCAAATGGATATAATTTCACAGCTGCGCAAGAGATCTTTCTTAAACTATAGGTATAAAAATGACTGAGGGTAACTCTATCTTATCTTTCTTATTTTTTCTATTAGCAAGAATCTTTTCTACATTGCATAAAGTATGCCTTGCGGCTCGTCGAGTGACGAGGCAACGGTATTAAAGAATTAAGGTAATATAAGCCCAAGTGCCGAAATATATTTTATAATGAATGTTAAGGAATAACGTTGTAACACGTAACGCATGGTATATATATAAAAATTTTTATTTCCGTTTAATCGTATTGATAGGCAAGAAAATTTGTTGCTAATGATCTTTTACAAGCCGCATGAAAAATTGTATTTGCTGTCAAGTTGCAAAAAAATAACTTGATCGTTTGAAATGTTGAGTGCAATTATGACAACGTGCAATGTAGCTATTAGGGACTCACATGTTGTGTCGATGGTTAAGAGTATCTTGCCGAAATTAAATCATTATGCGAATGACTTTTGTTGTGTTTGAAATCCATGACAGGCATAATTTTATTAATCCAGCGTTCAATCACGAACATCCGCAGAATGTGCTCAATTGATAGAATGTCCAAACTTGCCGCATATGATATAATATTAGTTAAGGTATGGTCATTAAAAATGATTCTTTATTGTTTAAGCATCTTGGATAATAATGCTCTAGTCTGTAATAGTTGACTCGGCGCAGTCAGGCTGTACAAGTTGAAGGAAACTGAAAAGGAGGGAAACTAAGAAAAAAAAATATTTAAAAAATAAGGCACCTAACGTAATCTCTTATCATGTATAAAGTCCAATGCAATGTATATACAAATTTAATAACCATTTATATTTTTCAATATGCGTCTCTAAAATTGTGATTTGGGATATCCTTATTTTCTTTATGCTGATTTTTCTTGAATGATGGGAAAAAGGAGTATGAAAATAGAACGCTTACAATTTCTTTTTTTAACGATTTATTCGAATTTTTTTATACTACAGGCAGTATGTGTGAAATATATGTCCGTGAGAAATCCTTACATTGTGTACAACTACTTATTTTCATCGTTAATATTTGTCCTCTTTTTTGCGCTCTTAATCGTTGTTTTTAACTGTTTGACTTTCTTAGTCGATATAGATTTTTGATTGGTTTTTAAGGTCTTACTAAACGACCCACCTACCCGTGTACCCGCTTTCTTAATTTGTTGTCCAATTCTCGATGTTTTCTTTTTCTTAATATTAGTCAAACTCTCACTTTTATTTCCGGTATTTTCTTTAATCCTGTCACCATTTGATTCTACAGTCTGACTTTCCTTGGCTCGATTACTTCCCTCCCGTCTTTTCCTAAGAAGCAAAACTATAAGTTAATAATACTGTGGGAAATGATTAATGAATGTACAGTCTTATACCGAGCATGGAGTAAAGAGACATGGAGTAAAGGGAGTAAAGTTGATTGAGTATAGAGTAAAATTATTTACTTCTGCTTTTCACGCCGTTGTTTTTCATACGTAGGAATGGTAGATATTGAATCTCGCTTAGGAGCTTCACGTTCCATTTTTCGTTTTTCCTTCTTGCTATGCTTTTTCATAGCAAGCATATATTCTGGTACTTCACAACCGGACTCGCGCATTATAGCAGCAATGCTATCAGGAACGATATATTAGTCATTTGAACAATTTAGAAAAGATATTGCACTATGCAATTTTTAATACCTTCTCAAATTCGCAGTATCTTCTTGTGTAAAGAATGTTAGTGCTTTTCCTTTATGTCCAGCACGACCAGTACGTCCTACAAAAATGATGTAACTATACATGTTGCTTCAAAATTGTTCATTTTCCATACAGAAACGAATTAATGGTACTCAAAGAATATGATTAGAAAGTTTTAATTACCTATTCTGTGAATATAAGAAATGGCCGATGGTGGAAAATCATAATTGATGACGAGATTAACTCCCTTGAAGTCAATACCACGACCCATGAGTTCGGTACATATCAATACCCAAATCTTTCCCTCTCGGAAACACCTCACAACGTTATCTCTCTGATAATAATAAGTTTCAGGTAAGTGCATTCATAGAGTATCTTAAAAAATTTGGTATTAATCACAAAGTAATTACTTGGGTTTGAGTTCTATCTGCATGAATGACATCCACATTGATTCCATCATAAATAAGCTCGTTAAAAAGTTCCTGAGCTCTTTCTTTACTCTGGACAAATACTAATACTGGCGGAGACATACCCTACATAAACAAAATATATATTTTTACACGCATATTAAATAATAGATACCAGGATAATTTGAATGTGATTATTTTTTTAATTACATACTTTCTGAATTATATTTCTGAACGCAACCAATTTGCCTCTTTCGTTTCCTACAAATAACAATTCCTGCTCGACTAATTCAGTTGCGGCATTTCTAAAATGGGGCAGTAGTATTAATATCCGTAGAATAAATAATAGGTAATGATTGCTTACCTCTGACCAACTGTAACATTTATAAGGCCTTTTAGATTATGCCGACACCATTTTGTTACAGCTGGTGTATTCGTGGCACTGAACATTGCTCTACGCAAATTACTATTTGTACATGCCAGTGAGATTTGATCTAGTTGATCACGGAAACCTCGTACACCATCTTCGAATAATTTGTCTGCTTCGTCCACAATCAGCCATTCCACGCTGACAATTTAAATTATTTAATTACAATTGATTGAAATAACAATCATTAAGCCGTTAATGATAACTTACTTGCTTAACGAAATTGCTGGAGGTTCTTGATTTAAAAGAAACACTAATCTGTTAGGTGTTGTGATAAGAATGTCTATGTAGAAAATGAAAATAATATAATGCAAATTGAATACTGGTAGCAGACAAATGTATTCAAGACACTTACCATATTTTTGAGAGCTATTTGGTCCGTATTTAGTTAAAGCTTGATTAATTTTACTAATAATATGGATTCTGAAATCACGACCTTCGCTTAGTCTAACACATTCTCTGTAGGTTTGCTTTGCCAATTCTCTGGTTGGGCATACAACTACTGCACGGAATCCTTTCTTTTGCGGACCACCCAAATGGTGAATTATTGGTAAAAGGAATGCTGCTGTTTTTCCTGAACCTGTTGGTGCACAGGCAAGTAGCTGCCTGTTCTGTTTGTATAAAATGCAAAATAGTTTAGAGCAATATGCAATACATAGTATGTACTGTGAATTATGTTAATCTTACTTAAAATACCTGTAACATAATAGGGATAGCTTGCATCTGAATTGGAGTAGGTTGCTCATAACCACAAGTTTTTAGATTTTGTATCAAATCCTGTGCAACATTGTGTACTGTTGACAATTGTGAAAAAGATTCTATAGGTGGTGGAGCATGCCGTCCCACTACAGATATACGATTTTGATTTCTAGTTTGATTTATCTGAAAGTAGTAGTTTTTATAAATGAATTGTTCTCTGAAAATATGAATCTTGCCTTTCAAAAAGTTAAACATTTTTAACGGATAGTCATTGCTTATAAAATTATAACCTTTTCTTGTTCTAGTTGCATTATCTTCTGCTCCGTCATGGCTTTCTTTTGCTTCTTGATTTTGATTTTACTCCCATCCTGTGGTACTGTTATGCCACTGATAAGAGTCAAAGCATTTATCGTTTCCTCAGTATCCCTTATTTCTATCTGTTTTTCATTTGCATCCTCCAGTTTCAGTCTTTTGGTAGGTTCCAAACAGTCATCATCTTCTTTCTCGATTTTAACTTTCACAGTCTCTCTCTCCTTTGGCCTCTTTGCAAACTTCAAACATTTAGGAAAAATAACATATAAGCAATTCTATATGCTACCTAAATGATTTCCATAAAATCGGAGTAATTCGTATTACAAAATAAGGTTAATTCACACGTGGAAGCTTACTTGGAATCTTTGGGCATCTGTACGAAAGCGTTTCATGTCAAATTTTGTCCCAACAGACAATTTCTTGAAGAGATCGTGTGCATCCATGATCAAATGATTGATATTCTGTTATAAAATTATACTATTATAATTTCATTTACTTTAAATTCATATCATAAAAGTACACGTGCTACAAATTACAGCTGTCATTTGTATCCTAAATCATTCAGTCGGTACTGTAGATCAAAACAGAAAGACTAATGAAAACAGACGAGTTCATTGGTTCTAAAAAAAAAGTCCAATTGCCGTACATCCAATAGCATTTACTCTTCAAGCAGCTGCATTGCACGTCACTATTGTTCGGAATTCCCTAGTCCGCCAAGGAAGAAGATACCCGACGGAAATATCCCTAGTCGGCCATACATGCAAGGGATTTTCTAGTATCACTAGTCTGGGGTTTGGGAACGTTTGAATGTATCGTATCGTAACCGTTTTGGAAAAGTTGAAGTCGTATCAAATTTTGTCATAAAACATTTTGAAATAAAACATCGCAAATTCATTGATAACTAAAGTTTTTTGTAATATCACTCCCACGAGACCCAACAACTATTGTTCTTGAGAAAATAGGTTTAATGTTTTTAGTTTTTATAGTTCAATTATTTGAATGAAGTCACTTCATACATTGATGCGTCTATGCCCTTAGTAGATCACGTAAACGGTGTCGGTTGCAGCCAGTTGCAGCTCAATTTGAAATGTCTGTTGATTGTTTGTTGTTCCTTCTGAATATTAAAAAACGATACGTTTATCGTTAAACTTATTCGGGTTTTAACGTGAAACGCGACAATCGTCATGAACAAGAAAATGCAAGTACGTATTTCATTGTTCTTATTATCCTTGAAAAACTTTTTAAGCTATCAAAAATTCATGATACAGCTTAATTTGTTTGTAGTGTCAATCACAACCTGGTACTTGATTTCATTTTATAATAACGCTGCTTAAAGTAGAGCAAATGCTTTTTTAGGCTACTAATATGATAGCCTGATACTAATTTCCTTATTACTTGTTAATGAATTATCAATAAATATGGGTTTGGCACGATATACGATATACCTTGATGACTACACTGTGTTAGTGTTGGCCGGAGTTTGCCGGTATTCGTAAGGTTTAGTAAGTTCTTACATATTTTTTTCCAATTGGAGTGATTGTCAAATTATTGTATTAATTATTTTAAAATATGTGATAAATGTTGTAATATCGTATTTACTTGTAATGTAAAATTGTGTTATACATACATTATTTTTTGGGCTTAAAATTAAGTGGATAAAAAAGGAAAGTGAATGATAGATTTCAAACTAATGTTATAACTGAGAAACTCTATTGTGTTATAATTTATAAGTATTAAGGACATGTGGGTAGACTATTTACTGCCCACTGAAATTCCTCAGTTCATATGCTATATTACTTACATTTATCACTTACTATATACAGTAACGTTACTTTGAAATACATTTCCTGTATGATATATTTCTAATATTTAAACATATATTCTTGAAAATTACTTATTGCCTATGTTTTAATAGTCTTTGCTTTACAGAATTATTAAGAATATTATAATGGATCAGGCAAGGTATGTTTCTTGCATCAAACTCAATGGCATTCCAATTCTTCCACCACTGGTAAGTGTTTTAACAAAATAATATTGTATGTGCATATTACATATGATTAGTTAAATCAAACTTAAGATTCTGCTGCGTGTAAGAGCAGTTGCATGAAAAAGAACCACTGTTTTAGATGACTGAAGATATTAGAATGGAAATGAATTATTATAAGCAGTTAGCAATGGCAGTGGAAGAGAAATTAAAAACATTGCAAATTGCCAAAGAAGCTGAGACTGATAAATGCAAAGGTGATGTTCCAAGAGATTATAAGAAATATACAGAGGACAGAAGTAACTCCACAGAATCTGCTGCCAATGATTCTATAAATATTGAATCAGAGGGTAACTCTGTTGATACGACACCCAATACTATAACTGTCATTGATTTTCCAATGAATGAAGAAAAGAAACCTGATGAGAGAAATAATTTTGAAAGTACAGACGTAAGCATTACTGAATCTGTATTGGAAACAATTGGTCGTCAATGGAAATCAATATCCGACGACGAAACCGTTTCATGTCCCAACGAAGCCCAACTAATTGGTAGTATAAGTTCTGATACCGTTACTGCGAGCACGGACTTGAATCACTATTTAAATGAAACAATATCGACCAGACCTAACACTGCCGAAACAACACCCGAGACTTGGAAACCACAAGTGCCTAAAACTTTGGATATTGTACCAATAACTGTAGATGCACCACATCCATTGGAAAGTAAATCGGTGTTAGAAAACACTGAGGCAATTCATGTGGAGGAGTCCACATTGGAAACTCCGAAATTGGTTCGACAAGGCTCTTATGTTTTGGAAACTCCAAGTCCAATGCTGTTAGCACATTTGCAGACAGAATTAGCGAACACGACCTACGTTCCCACAATGACACATAATACAATAAAGCGTAAAGAGTGGAATATCACCCAAGCTAAAACGGAGTGGGAGAATCAAATTAAAAACAACCAATTCATTGTTTCGGATAACTCAAGACATGAAGCAGGATCCAGGCAAAGAAGAAACAGTATATCAAATACCAATAGTCAAAGAACATGTAAGTCTGTTGTTCATACAAAAGGTCGTCCTCCTCTTGGCATTCGTCAAAGTACAAGATCAGTCGATTGTATCCAAACTATGCTTGCAAAGGAATATCGAACTCGAGGTACCAATAATAAAAATAATTATGGTCAACGTTGCACTCCTAATGCATGTAGTGCTGTGAAAAATTACAATAGATGGAAAACCAATAAAAATGTATCGATATTAAATCTGGCTAATAAATTAGGAGGATCATTAGGAAGTCTTAGCAGCGTGAACACGCAACCATACAGATGCATCGACAAGGAACATGCGGAAGATGTTCAACAAAATAAAAACTTCCATGAGGGCTCTATAACGGATAGCGAAACACAGAATTCGAAAAGCCCGTTGAAATCTGTGGTAACGTCTGAAAAGTTGCTAACTATTTTTAAGGAAATACAAAGTGCACACGAAAAACAAATGGCAGATCTTATGGAGAGACAGCGAAGAGAACAATCCAATATGCAAAAAGAATTTGAGAGGCAACAAATACTTTTGCTGACACAGATTAAGAAAACGTTTCCTGGAATCTCAATGACTGTACTCCCGGAGTCGAATTCGAATACAGTTTTGGATAAGTCAATACCGTCACCTCATGAAATATCTATGAATACTTCAGAAGAACTTGCACAACAGAAAATAACTGAAAACTTGTTAAAAGGTGTACAGAAAGTCAATGAAGTACAGTGTGTGGATGAGATAAATCATGCAAATGTTATGAAGTGTCCTCTGGATTATATTTATCCTGCAAATGGAACCTGTCATTCCTCTCATTATGAACGAACTAGTAGTCAGTCTACGCAAACGTCTGAGGATGAAAGTGTTTCCAAGACCGATGACTCGTCATCAACAAAAGATATGATGACACAAAACTACAATAATGATGATTACACTAGCAATGGGAAACAATCTGACAGTTCTGAACGCAGGCATTCCAATGTTATCAGACAACTGTTTCCACTGGATAGTAGAACAACGCATCTACCAGTGCCGGATAATACCTTGTATACAGAAAATCATGTAAGTTAGAATCATAATTATTTATAACGTTTACTGTACTGTATCTTAGCTTTATACTGTTTTATCAATTTTCCAGATTCGTGCAGCCACAATAATAAATGCGTATGCTAGAGGTTACTTGGTACGTAGATTGATGAAAACGGAGAATGTCATTGCTTTAAAAAATACTTACAAGGAAGCACTGCATTGTATGCTTAAGTTACACGTGGATGCACCGCTGAATTTGCCGGAACTTAATTTCCATCAACGCCTTCAATTGCAGGTAGTTTCTACCTTTTTAATTAAGTACAGTATTATTTTCTAAGCGTTACAATGCTCTTTACAACGAACAAGAATTTCCATTAACCATTGTACTTTATAAAAGTGTGATGCAGCTTCGATGAACATAGTGGAACTGTTTGCACAATGTCCTTCAAAGAAGATGCAAGTGATAGCACATGATCGTGAAATCAAGAAATCTCGATCAGAACGACCAAGTTCGGCAAGATCATTTTCCTTCGCAACGCAGCGGACGCTCGCAAGAAAAAAACTTAAGGAGTATGATTCCGCATAACATAACACTTATTTTTTTATCGGTTCATTGTTTTAAATAAATTTTGTGTTTTAATTGATACAATTCATAATGAAATTATATTATTTCGCATGTGGCATAATTGTAACTGTACTGGACTGAATAACTTCATACCACGTATTTTTTAAAAGTATGTTATTATGTTTCTTCTTATTTATTTAATCGCTAATAGCAATCAAATTGATCATTTATGTATCCTGTCTAAAAAATTGTATTCTTTGTTCCTAAGTTTTTAACGTCTTTCTTTTACAGATTGGGAGAATATCAAACACCTCCAGTGAGTCGGCCAACTTCATCAAGGACGAGATGCCAAACTTGGGCTTCACAAACGAGGGAGAAGCGTTCGCCTAATATATTACGTGAGTGAATACATACTTTTTGATCAATTATTATAAATGGAATTGTAAATATATATATAGTTACTAGTATAGTAAAGTACTAGCATGGACAAATTACAGTATCCGCGATGCGAACAAAGAATAAATTGTTCCAGATCAAGGTATAAAGAGAAGTACCAGTGTAGGAACGGTGCGCAAGCCATGGCGATAAAAAAAGACACTAAAGTGCCTTTCACAGTTTGATCTAAGTCAGCAATTTGTACAAATTTTACTGCGGTTAATACGAGAAAAAAAAATATTAAGGAGTTTCACCTAGTGCCTGATACGTATAATTTTTAATAAATTTATTTAGTATATATTCGTTAAGAATAAACAGTGAAAGGTGCACTATTGCAATCCTGTGATACATGAATTGAATTCATGAACACTTTTGTTTAGATTTGTTATTGATCAGTTTTACAACGAGAGCAATAACCGTACGAATAATTGTTTCTGAAAACTATTGCAATAAATGAGTATGCATCATGAATAGAAAGGCTTTAAGCTAGTGCATACGGAAAAACATAAGAACAATATAAACGCCACAAGGATACATGATGTGCCATTGCTAATACAAGAATAGGTTGCTTTTGCGATTGAAATGAAACAACTATTGTTATGTCAATGGTTATTTATTAATAATTACTGTTTAAGATTTTAAGCACTAAGTTTCAGTTTTCCATGGTATAAATGAACAATTAATTTATTATCAGTACATTGTAAATTCATAAATTTTGTTTTGTTCCATTAGTTGTGAATTATTTATAAGGGTAAATGTTTTTAATGTTACATATTTTTGTATTTATGAATCTCGTATCTATTTTGCAGTGTATTTTCAAAACAAAAATTTTTAATCACATATGTGCTAATTGTAGATTGTTACATTTAATATCAATTAAGCTTCCAAGCAACAATATATAATATTTGTATCGATTAGATCTATACTATCAAATGCAAGATATTTTTCTTTTATTTGGTGTACGTAAAACTTTTTATTAGCTATTCATATTAAGTACTAGTATTACAAGAATTAGTTTATGATATTTTTATGCAAGAACGGATTTGTAAATTACATAAGAATTTTTTATTTTACATTAATTGTATATCAATAGAAGTTTAAGTCAAGTGCTTGCCATTAGTGAAAGATCTGCTCTAATGAGAAAATTAGAATTAGATACGGATTTCTTTTTGGAAAGCATCAGAATTTATGTTATCGAGGATTGATTATAATTAGGAAATAAATTCATTTGAAGTATGAAATACTATTTGTGTGTTAAAAATATCAAACTATAATATTCGGCACATTCGAACATCCGGAATGGTCGTAACAATCATTAGTCATATCCATGGCGCCGCGGGAGACCTGTAGTAAAAATTAAAATATAATGAAAATTATTTACAATAATAATGATCTTATTTTATTTTGTATTATTTCATTAGAAAACATTCTTGATTCAAAATAAATGTGCTACTGGTCAACAGAATTATTTAAATATTTATTAAAAATAATTCTTCTACTTGTTAAATATATTAATGTAAAGTATGCTGTATTATCGACTAAATTGATCGTAGTATGTAAAGAGGTAAAGTGCACGGAATTGCCTAGTGTCGAGGAGAAACGGATACGCATAGATGTGTCTGACGGTGTATTAAAGATGATTTGTCAGAAACTGACATTTTAATTAAGAATATTACATCGACAGATTTATATTTTTGCTGTAAGCAGGTAAGCCTTTGTTACTATATTTCGTGAAAGCTAATTAACGATCCAGTACGAGTTCATCATATAACCTCGAAATTGCTCAACGTCAACCTTGGGTCGATTTCTTCGTTACAGAATTACTATGTACTCAAGATTGAAGAGCTAACAAGAAATCAAGATGTGTGATAATGTCAATAATAATCCGTTTGCTGGTTTATTTTCAACTGTAAACGACGCTTCGTCGTTCTCGCAAACTCAGACCACTGTTGATGAAATCAATGATGTTCAAAAATCTGTTAACGAGGCTGAGCACGATCAGTCCTTGTCAGAATCTGAATCGTTGAATATTCCGCAAAGTAATTCACTCGAAGACAAACTTATTGATGATGTATTTGGTTTGACATTGAAGAAGGAAGGAAAGGGAACATCTGCAAGACAATTAGTCTTTGTCGATACAGACTCTATAGAACATGCTGTGTTTGAACGACTCATGTTGCCTGACCCAGAGTCAAAGCTTGTACCTACCAAGTGTCCAAAAGGCATTGCGTTGGACAGTCATGTTGTACAAACTCAAATTGTATCGTATCTCTTTGAGAGTTTCTGTAGACTACAGAGATACAAGGTTGTTGAAGGAATGTCTGAGACAGTGAGCAACGTTAACCAAATTATTTTAAGAAATGTTGGTACAGCTCTGCAAGAACCTGAGCTATTCCAAGGACAAGATGTAAATATTTCGTTACTGATTCTTTAAAACGTCATTTAGTAATTATATTTTTCCCAATGCGGAATACTCCTAAAATAAAATATTTCTTTTAGATCCATGGACAGTACGTTGCACTATTTATGGACAGTCACTCAATTAACCAAGATTTATCATCATTTACTTGTGGCATTATCTCACAATTGAGCTTGGAGAACAATGATTCTTCAGAAACCGTGATAAGGGCAGTCTTTAGCCCTATCCTTGATATAATACATAAAGAAGCAGCCAAGAGTAATCTCTTGATTTTTAGACAATATTGGTTCACTCTTCTACAAACATTTGCATTATCGGAACCTTTAGCAAAGTTAATTATCAATCATAGTACTCCAAAATCTGGTCAAGGTCGAGCATATGCAGACACACTGTTGGGCGCATTGTTCAGTCTTAGTTGTCTTCCTAAGACTATTGAGGCTCCGTTTGATTTCTTTGATAAACCTTTACAACAGGTGTGTAAAAAACACTAGAAATATGTTCATGAAGTGAAGTTTGATGAAAATTTCCTCTATGACTTTACACGAACTTTCTATTAATAAGTCATATTCGCTCTAGCCAAGTGCAGCTGTGGAAGGTAATATATGGACAGCCTTGGATGCCTTGGGTGAATCTTTACATAAAGTTTTCCACTCTCTCTTAAAATGCTCTGCGGAATTACGTCATTTGACGTTACAATGGATAGGGAATTGTTTGCACACAAATGCAAATCGCGGTAAATTATGGAATTCACACAGCGAAATTTCTGTTGGTCCTGCGCTATCCGTTTCCGATGGTTTCATGCTAAATTTGGGCAATATTCTACTTAGACTGTGCCAACCGTTTTGCGCTAAATTGGGTGACAGTAAAATACTGAGAATCGATCCAACATATTGTGCAATAGAGGTAGGTACGCTTTATAATACAAACCAAAAGTATACATTTCAGATGCACGCGAAAGTAAAGAGAAATTTCTTCTTTAGGCCAAAGATGATAAAGAAAGTCGAGTTCGTGGTTTACACATGAAAGGCATGACTACAGAAACATGTCTAATTCCAACACCCGAGGGAGAAACTCGTCCTGTGGCAGATTCTTACGGATTTGTCACAGAATGCTTCTTCCTGACTCATCGTGTTTTGGATTTGGGCTATCGAGTAGTCTTAGATAAGCTTATGAGGTAGATTTGAAATTCATTTACCTGTATGTGTACAATTTTTTAGAACTAACCATTCCTTTTTTTTTTATTAGGACTAATCAAGACCTAGCAAGAATACAACGAGTTTATAACGACGCACAGGTTGGTGGTGGCTCTGAAGTATTGGAAGTGCTCACTCACAAAATGGAAATGGAGATGACGAAGTAAGCAGGCAATTTAAACACTTCATCCTGTGGAAGGACTGATACATCTTTTGTTACCAGGTATTTGTCACTAAGGGCTAGTCTACTTGTGCCGGAAATGCTAAGTCTTTTAGCAAAGTTTCATGCTACAACTGCAGAATGGCTAATGCAAGTCAATCTGGATAACGTGAAGATTCAGGATGCCGAACGTGCCAGTTATGCTCCAAAGGAATTTAAACCTGTCACATTCCCATTGCCGGATGCTGTTCCAGACACATTAAGGTACAATGATTAATACATTTTAATGAAACATAACGTAACACCATGAATGCAAACAATTGAATTATAACATAACATTCATATTTCGAGCATAGAGAGAAATATTGTACGTCGTAGAAATTATATTGCAAACTATTGAATCGCTGCGTCCAGTTAACTTTAAAATGAAACACATTATTCCCAGGTGTATTCCTGAGTTTGTAGTGGAAAATACAGTCGGATTTTTATGCTTCTTACGACGACAAAATCCTAACACTTTTGAAGAGCAGGGCCCAAGCTTTCTAAATCCAATACTAACTGAGGCAAGTTATTTATTATTAGCGTATGCACCGAAAATTTGAATTAAACAATTAATTGAAATAAAATTTGTACTCAATTAGGTTGTAGCGTTAATGGAATCACCACATCGATTATATAATCCGCACTTACGAGCGAGACTTGCAGAAGGGTTGGAAGCGCTCTTGCCATCGACCGATGACGGTAACAATCAGGCAGTACAGACTCTTGGAACATTCCATAGACAACAGCTTTTCGTTACACATCCTCATAGGCATCAGGTTTGTATAATTTGAAGTAATTAGACCTTTTTATAATTTTTCATGACCATGAATAATGACTTATTTATTCCATAGATTGTCGCGAACCTGCTTAATGTTTTCGTAAGCATCGAGATGACCGGACAAAGTGTTCAATTTGAGCAAAAATTCAATTATAGACGACCTATGTACATCGTTATGGATTATCTATGGAAAATACCTGAGCACCGTCACAATTTCAAGTAAGTATCCATTGCGAATAAGATTTTTTATTGCTTGCATTAACATTTGTGATCGTTTCTTTTTCGTACCATAGATTTCTGGCTGAAGACGCAGAAGCAAATATGGAGGCAGTACAACCGCCATTATTTTTACGTTTCATTAACTTACTAATGAACGATGCTGTATTCCTTTTGGATGAAGCTCTCTCGAACATGGCTCAATTAAAACAAATGCTACAAGCAAGGTAATTATGTCTTACGAAATTTAAATGGCTATACTACAATTCATTTTTACCATTTCAATTAAATGTTTGTGAAATAACAGGGAAAGTGGGGAATGGAATAAACTGCCTCAACACGAACGTGATCAACAGGCTGGATATCTTCAGCATATAGGAACGATAGCTCGATTTGACAATATATTAGGAAGGGAAACTATACATACATTAAAAATGCTTACAACAGAAATAACTTCTATATTTTGTCATCCTACTATGGTTGATCGTATTGCGTCCATGCTTAATTACCTACTTTTACAGTTAGTAGGACCTAATAAAAAAAACTTGAAGGTTAGATATATCTACTATGTATTTTCTCAAACATACACACCAGAGCTGAATAATTTGTATGGATTTTTGATTGATTACTGCTTTACGTTACAGGTGAAGGATCAAAAAGAATATGATTTTAATCCCGCAAATTTAGTATTGAATATCTGTGAGATATATATTAATCTCAGTAAAAGCGAGACATTTACACTTGCCGTTTCTCAAGATGGACGTTCTTACAGTTCTGAACTGTTTAAACTAGCAGATAACGTTTTGGGTGAGTATTTACGTAAATGTGTATTATGATTTAATAAGTTTTTTAAATTTAATTATTACTTGATTCTTCATTATGTTATAGCAAGGATCGGTGGATTCGGCATTCTAGCTGATCTAGATCAATTTGCAAAGAAAGTAGAGGAAGCAGCACATCAAAAGGAGGAGGAAGAAGAAATTCTTAACGGAGCTCCAGAAGATTTCCTCGATCCGATAATGTCAACACTGATGACAGATCCAGTCATTCTGCCATCATCAAGGATGACAGTGGATCGTCAGACCATTGCCCGGTGAGTCATTGTTCACAATTTACATGTAATTTATGTGATATCAGTGATCCAATATGGAATCTTCGTTAAAGAAAGTTACCGTACGTTTCACTAAAGATTGTTGCACATTTATGCCACGGTTATGCAACTGTCATGGAGATAATAAACCTTTCAGGCACTTATTGAGCGATCAAACTGATCCATTCAATCGATCACCATTAACAATGGACATGATCAAATCGGATGTCGAACTGCGTAATAAAATAGAAGAATGGATAGCACAACGAAAGGAAGAGAAAGGTTCCACCAGTAGTGAAACATGAATCGTTATATCAGTTTCAGCTACTCGTGTACGTGTATACGAGTGCCTCTGACGAGAAAAAAAAATCATAAGAATATGTATACTATCATCACTTCGATTAGTTGTATAATAAAGTGTGGGTAATCGAGAAAGTAAACTATTAGCAGCATCTGCGTTTACGTTGGGCTTATGTAGAAAATATTGGCGTTTTATTTGAATTGGTTATAGTCTTAAGTCTAGGAATAAGTTTTATTTTTATTCATTTTTGTTGTATGCTTCACTTGTGATACACAATTGTTAAGTGCAGGTTATTTGTTTCGGACTACAGTGTTTTATGTCTCATGTAAATATGTACCTTCTATTTTGTATCGCTTTGCGAAGTTGAGTAGTCTCGTTGAAAACTTGTTACTTGCATAACGTGCAACTTGCCGATATAAATTTTATGTAATGGGATATAATAATAATATTAGCGTCGACCTTCGATAAATTCATAATAATTTTTGTCGATATAACGGTAATCCGTTATGTCATAATTGCGTGTAAATGACTGAAAGAATAATCATTATTTAAAGTTCTCTGTAGTCATAAAATTTGGTGTTGGGTCGCTGTCATTCTTTATGGGGGTTAAATGAAGGGTTGGAGGGAGAGAGAAGTTAGGTGAACTAAATTATAGAAAAAAATCATCGAGACGTAAATGTTTGAAAATAAATATTTATTTCTTTATTTCAATAACTTGAAATGTGTCCATCCACCAATTATTAAAATATAACATATTCTCTTGTATAGCTAAAGCAATGATTTGATATTTGTATGTAAAGACAAGATGTATATCATTTAAAAGTGTTCACGACATATTTTCAGTAAAGAAAACCATTTGGTGCATTGCACACCTTTTAATCAAACATATAAAAAAAATAGTGTAATATACAATTTAATAATTCTTTAAATTAATTATATGAAAATAGTCATGACCTTGCAACCTAAGGATACCAGCATAATAACCAATGAAAAAAATCAATGATCCGCAAGTATAAGTACCGTTAAATGAACATCTAACAGTGTCATTATAACGTGGAAAATAATATACTTCTTCAGAGCGTTTACGCGTTCAAAATATTCGCCAAGAATTGCCGTAAAATCATATAAAAAATTGAGTTTAATATTAATTATTTCTCTATCAGCTGCACGTCATCGACACACGAGTCCCCATTGCATGTAATACGAATGCTTGTACATTTACGATCGTTTTAAGTTGGATATCAAATGTTGTGAACATATAATTAAAAATTTATTGCGAAACGGTGTGCACGTGATCCAATTTGGTGTAATAAGATTATATATATATATGTGCACGTATCTCAAGTGTACCATAAAAGACGATTCCCATCGCTAATTGGATGTAAGTTGTGTTTAATAAATTATTCAAGGCTACGCAAACATTGAACACTAATTAATTGATTTTTTTTTTTGCTAACAGAAAACTTCAAATCGATATGCACACTACAAAAATTGTCAATAGTACAGCAATCGACGCGTGGTATTTAACTACTTCTATACGATTTATTTGCATCGAAAGATAACGCATAGCATACTGATTTATATAAAATAATTTATCACGCATTGTAAACTAAATATTTCTTTTTCTTCGATAAACGATAAAATGATTTAGTCTAATTGCTATGAACAGCAATATAATTCGTAGTAATACGATTTATAAGAGTCAAGCTTTCAAAGCTTTCGCAAGCTCATTAAAGTCCGTTACGAACCATTTGGCTCTTGACTTGACGCTTTCTCGTACGATGTTACCCCCAAAGCCTGCAAAAAGAATTGCACAATCATTAGTAATATATCAAGCGTGACAATCTTTTAAGTTTGCCGTTCAAGCATAGAAAAAAAATTCCAGACATGCAACAGACAAAGCCTCACTCTTCGTATCAGAAATGATGTGTGCTAATGTACTACGTTAACTCTTTTTATCAAAATCATAGGTGAAGCAACAAACAACTTTGACTCGTGATACGTTGTCGGCGGATTATCTTGACATATTTTGTCATTTTAAAAATTGAGTAACTGACAAGTTGTTGATTATTCTCTGTAGGGGGTCAGATAAGACTCTTATCGCATACCAATAAACGCGCTTGCTGGTGGGCAAGCTTCAAGGTCAGTAGCTCCGTCTCCAATATGGATTATATTCTTGAACTGTTTTTCTTGTTTTAAAATACGAATAACTTCGGCTTTTCCGCCGCTTCTTGAGGTTGGCTCGTTCTCGTCGAACCCAGCATACTCTCCTAAAATAGGGAATACACATTAGATGCAAAAGACAAATGATAGAGATTCAATAATATATACAACAATACTGTTGTACGCAAGAAAATTGCTTGTTTGGTACAAACCTGTAAAGTAAAATTTCAATCTGTTGGCATGAATATTTTCTCGTGGGATTTTGAGTAGGTCGGCTACTGGTGCAATTAGACAACGAAATCCTCCAGAAACTAGGTATACTTGTTTTCCATTCGAATGTAGAGTATCGACTAAATTTCTAAAAAAAAAAAAAAAAAAAATATATGTGAATATCAAGAAAGACTTCCTAATGTCTCTTGTAGCTTCTATAACTCTAACATTGTTTTTTACGAGAATTATTATATTATACATTGTTTGCGAAATAGTTGATAAATTTACTTTATGCCTGGTGTCAACGTCGGTGGATGAGAATTTTTCTAAAAAAAAAAAAAAAAAATATATGTGAATATCAAGAAAGACTTCCTAATGTCTCTTGTAGCTTCTATAACTCTAACATTGTTTTTTACGAGAATTATTATATTATACATTGTTTGCGAAATAGTTGATAAATTTACTTTATGCCTGGTGTCAACGTCGGTGGATGAGTACGTAAAAATTCTTTCACTTGCGTCAAACTTGGCTGAATGATATTCAGTCTGACTGACAATGATTGCTGGAACGTCATGTTTCCTTGCATCGCCGCTTTTGTTCTGCAATACATTGTGCGACGTGCGTCATTAGACATTTTGCAACAAATAACCAGGGTCTGTATTATTATGCCGACTCGAGTACATCTTTGTAGAAATATTCTATATACTTTTACTGTATTTATGATACATATATTTATTTCATTCTTGACTTCAATTGATCAGTGTTTTATATGTATAACAAAATTTGATCTACTAATTAATCCAAATGTAAATTATTTCTTCATCTAGTAGTCTGGATACAGTAGTTATAACATATTTTCATACCAATCAATAAACAATTGGATTCAAAAATGAAATTAAAAATACCAGCTGTTTCAATAGATTGAAATAAGTAACATGCAGATACATCTTTCATATGGGTCTTACAAAATTCTATCTTTCGATTAATGAGAGTAAGTAAAATAAGAAACTTAACAGTTTTATAATAAAATTCAAATATCAATAATGTACGCGTGCCGCGGTCAACTTACAATTCCGCAACTTGTTCGCCTTTGCCACAAAACTTAGCAAGCTCGTCGATACCCTCGTCCTGAATGACCGTCGAATCCACGTCGAACGAAACTGCATCGGCATTTTTCCAAATGAATTTGACCCCATCCATTTTGGCCATTTCGATTTCGCGAAAGAATTCGCTACCACAGATATATTCCGGCATTATGATATGAGTTACGTCGGCCTTGCGTATAATACGAAAGAAATGAAAAGAGTCAACCGCTTTGTTGAGAATTACGCGTGCTTATTACTGTACAGTGCGGATTCCGCCAAGGAACTGCGAGAATTTGCGAATTGTGGGATATAATAAACTGTCAGCCGACTGATAAAAGCGTTCGAGTATCTTTAAAGCAATAGGGAATATCGGTAGCTGCCACGAGGTCGTATCATGATAACGTATAACGAGAAATACTATTGTTGCTATCTAGTTCGTCAGGAATGCGTAATCCACGTGGGATGGAAGCAAAAATTGCGACAGAGATATAACTGCTTCAAACTATTTCGTCGGTTTCCGATAAAAATAATTAGATAAGTTTCTGGCAAATTGAGTCACACGAATGTATCAATACAGCAAGATAAAGTTACATCCACGAGAAAAACAGTAAGTATGTGTACATAATTGTTTGAGAAATATTTGCCAGTGTCTTACATTTGTAGTCATTAATACTTTCAAATGTGACAAGAAGATAGTTATATATGATATATCAGGTATAATCGTTTGTACATATTTTTCGAAATCAAATCTCGCGATTACACTATCTTAGTTCAAAATATTCCATTTTTACCGACGGCCATGGCTGTCAAATAAGCAACTTTTAATATTTATTCCAACGTGACACTGAGGAATTATCACGTTCTCACGGGAATATAGTAAAGCGAGCATTTAAAGGATATTCTTATATCTATATAATTGCAACAAACAAGTTGGTCTCATAAATATAAGTGAAATTAAATCAAGAAAGTACCGGTCATACGATTTATAATTTTCTGTCGACACTATAAGATTATATGGTGTATAACTAAAATATGGTAAACATCTAGGTCGTGACGTATTATTGTAGATAAAGCATAATGCAATACTTCCGCGATATTGAACGAAACTGTACCTTTATCGGTCAATTAACTTAATCGGTAGATGTTAGTCCAAAGGCAAACTTGTGATAATGCAATTCAACACTGTACACTCGATAGATAGCGTTTATGATAATTTCCGTTATACTAGATCAATTACGTATTTGAGTGACTTGTTGAATTGTGATTGTCTCCTATAGATATTCAACGATACTACAGTACAATTTGTTAGCATATTCACAACGGTGTTATTATGAATGAAACCTGAATGTGCAATATACTTTCTCTATCAGATAAGGTTATTGACCACGTTTATGTACTTCTGATGGTAAAGAAACTTGGAAGATCATTTAATATGACCATAGAGAATGATAATTTTCCTTTTACTATTTGATTTTGCTCTGTTTTTCTTATTACCGTCGATAGATTAATGGCGAATTAAGAGTACGAATGAGTCTGGTTGATATCGAACCTATCGAACACATCGTCACTGCCACTTGTTTTCTTATCACATTGAAAATTCCCTGCGATAAGTATTTCTTTCGTATTTCATATATCTACTCAGAGATGGCGTATGATAAAATAAAATGCATAAACAAGAAGCAAGATTCCTCCTTCCTTTCCTTATGGCTGACTCCTCCAATGAGGAGATGTGCCAGAAGAAGTAAGATTCCTTCCATGGACATGTGCCAGTAACTGGTCCTAATAATCAAGGTTGGAAGTTCGACAATAGATGGCGATGTACCTTGCGAGACGGGCCTTATTCAACTCAGCGTGAAGGGACCTACAAAAGTTTATACACCGAATCCGAACAGTGTTGGGCGAAATCCGTATAAGTACTCACTCAAGTTTTCACATGAAAATCCATTGGTGAATGCCCCTGGAAGCTGGGCGCGAACCTCCAACCTTTCGGTCGTGAATCCGCTACCCTATCCACTGGGCTACGGCCACCCAACAAGTAACATTAGAGAAGAGACTAAATTTAGCATACAGAAATGAGTAGGGAGATGGACAACACTACGGTTTTAGGTGATACCAAAATAATGGCACTAAATCGTAGCGGCGAGTCTAGAAGTAGAATTTTATGATCATCGCCTCCGTCGACAATGCGAATCCCGTAGTAGCCGAGCTAAACGTGAGCACGAACGTGTAGCTTGGCAGGCAGAGGTTCTCCGCTACTCACCGCTGGTTCCAAAAGTAACCCTTAGAACGAGACCAGGAACTATAGAACTTCTAAAAAAGTATTGAAAAAGTTTATTGTTGAAACATCTTAAAGACATTTTTAAGAAAGTGCGGTGCTAACTTAACACTCGTGTAGCACTTCAATTTTTGAAAAATGTTTCATCACTTGAGGGCACTTGGCCGTCTCTGAAGGCATAAAGCCAAAAAGGAATAAGAAGAAGGAAGAGAGAAGAAGAAAAAAGTTAGTTGCACAGAAATAATGAAAATTCCAAACATTGAATAAAACTTTCCGAATAAATATTATTTTATCTTCATTTACTTTCAAAATTTATTCAAAATATAAAATTGAGGCTACATCAAAATCTCGCAGAATATACGGAGTTGATAAAAATTGAATTGAAACGGTAGAATATCGAAAATAAATTACGTTCAAATTGAAATATTAATAAATTAGAAGTTTGGAACATTAAAATAGTTAATTAAATCAATAAAATAAAATATTAACACTTAGAAATCGGAAATTCTGGCCAAGCATATTTAGAAGTACTGGAAGTTGCCCAAAATTGTGTGCGCGCAAATTCGTCGTGCAGGACTCGGCGATCCGGAGCAGGCGGATGGTGGGGGGAGCACTCAAGGCAGTGCCGGGACTCGGAGAGCTCATTCTTCCTCGAGCCGGTCTCCTATACTGGTCTCTTGGAATCATTACTCTTATCCATTTCGAACCTTCTTCTATTTACATATTTATTTCTTCTTTACTACCTTATTTCTTTATATTTCATTCTTTACTTTCTGATTTATCTTTTTCCTTATTTTTTCTCTACTTTTATATTCCTTACTTTTCTACTTCTTAACTTCTTTATTTCTATCTTCCCTTCTGTCATCTCGTTTTATTCTATTCCCTCTCACTTTTCATTGTGCTTGTTTTACTTGTCCTACTCCTTTGGTCGGATCGAGCATATTCATTTGAGTAGTCATATAAAGATAGTCGAATATTAGGCATTTATACAGGCAGTTACTAAGTTTACACGCACCGGTTTTAGAAAGGATTAAATAATTAAGTTGGGCTACTCTTTTTAAGCCTTACAAGCGATTGGTTAATTCTGTGAAAAATCCGTGTGTGTAAACTTAGTGTCAGCAGATGTACCTAATGCCGCTGATTTTGATTAACGGGAAGTGTTTGAAGACGATTGATTTCCTTTGTTTTACATTGACCTTTTATTTGAATATTCCAATGAGTGATTTTGACACAATTTAATAACGTCTGATGATAACGCGCGAGATTTAGCTTTAAGCATATAAAATACATTAGACACGTGTACGTTGGGGTTCTAACTTGTAGCTAAGTAAATTATCGTTTGAGGAAAAAAAAGAAAACTACGAAATACCTTCTGCTAAGAACAGTGATTATTTCTTACATTTAAAAAAAGAAACTATACGATTACAATAAAAAATTAGAATTAAATATATTAAATCTAATAACGTTGCGTTTATCCCAATGGGACTCTAAATACGTGTTTGTCATCTAGAATAGATAAATCTCTAATGTAAAACCCTACAAGTGGGTTTTTATCTTGTTACGTATTTCCTGGGTTACACGTTCTCTTATTCTTCATGATTGCAGAGGTACGTCGCTGCGTGAAATCAGCGAGATTTTTCATTTTTTTGTGCAAAAAAAGACACTTCGATGAGCCATTTGAACGATTCGTTATTGAGGTAATGACTTTCATAAATCATTATGAGTATTGGCGTGAGTACATTTTCGAAAATTAATCTGTATCGAATCGAGACGATTTAAAAAAAAAAACATCTATTAAAATAGCCGTTACAGTAATGATCTCATAGCGCTAAATAGCATCGATAATTCCTCAATCAAATGTCGTGATGATTGAAATATCTAATTTCTAAAACATGTTTTCTTTGATCCCTATAAATAGTTTTATCGGGGTACTCTTTGGTCGTTACATTTTGCCACTTTCTAAATGTACTGTAGCTGAACGGCAAGAAAAACATATCACAGTATAATGAATCGGAGTATCACGTTTTCCATTAATTTTGTTTTTTGCTTTCTTAGTATCAGACATTGTATTTGCGTACGATGATCGAGTATCTTGTCACGCTGTATGCTGTCTTGTCACGCATGTATGCCTTGCAATAGTGAATATGTGGGAGATTACTTTTTTTTTTCAGCCAATGTCTTTAGCCTAGCTCATCCTGTCGATAGGGACGCTGTGTTTTTTTAAAATACGTATAGTAACAGTCGAGCGAATTTTATTAGATTTATTGCAAAGAAAAATTGAATATCTTACTCCAATACAGTCTAAGTCTAAAAGTTATCAACTAAAAGGCAAAATTAATATTTGTGCGACTGTCGAGATACAAAGAATCTCGAAAAAAATTCTGTAACGAGTCACGAAAATAGTCTTTTCATTGTCGATTAAGACGGTGATATTACATAACTTATTAGAATAGAAAAAAAAGGAAAATCTTATTCAAAAAATTATATTAATGAAACATGACATATCTGGTTCGTTATGCACGTTACATTTACAAAAAGATTTGTTGCGTTAAGCTTGATTATTTTCTAATTCGTATTTTGCGACGTAATACAATAACTTTTGTGCAGTCAATATTACAATAGTCATGGTTATCGCGTAATTAATGGACATTGATCATGATCTTTTTTATCAAATTAATAGAACACAAGGTATCAAATGACATTTTTCAAAATTGTGCAGAGTAACGATACTTATTGTTTTCGCGCAATGAAACTTCATGAACTTCTAGGATGAGCAATCGTATCGATTGTTATCAACAGTATTTATTCGTGCGCAGTACGACTGATTGTAATTAATATTGTTTTGTAATTTTATACAATTCACTGTATAATTTCGCAATCGCATTATACTAGTCTTTGCTGGGCTTTCCCTGTATACATTGTGACAAACACATCAAGGTGTGAGAACACAATTTTTTTTTTTTTGAACTCATTGGCTCGTTATTTTCGACGAATATACATTAAAATATATAGTATACTTATTTACTTGATAATAAAAGTAATATGTGTGCCTTCGTAGAAAAGGATAGAGTATAAACCAGACTTGTTTAAAAGTTATACATATAGAATAATTGTTTGTCGCTACAGATCATCCTGGATTATTTCTGTCATCTTCGTGTTAAATGTTTCGCATAAAGAAAGCTCATACTAAATAATTCGTTAACGCTGTTCGAATATATACGTAAACGCTGATATATCTAATTCTTAAGTATCAGAGTATAAGTTAACGACATCGTTGCTCCATTGTGGCAAGAAAATCGAAAGAAGCTATAATACCTGAAAACACTAAATAAATGAGTGCCTTCTACATACGTTATAATTTTAGTTATATCCAGACCTCTAAGATGTCGGAAATTCATTCTTAATAGGGTTTGAAAAAGAAATTAGAAAATATTGTGTGTGCCATACACAAATGACAGGCATGCAAATAAGTGAAGATCTTCAAACGAAAGAATCTTAATTAACTTATGAATTTATTCATAATTGTGAAATTAGTTAGAAAGGAGGAACGTCTTGTGTTTTAGTATATTAACTTGCTTCGTTAATACGGTTAACGAGGTCATACCACTTCGTATTTTAAGAAACAGCAATTAATTGAACGTTAGAGTTTTCTTATGTTGCAATAAGAAAATTGAGAATGGGTCTGTCTTGATTTGTGATTAATTTTTCGGAATTTCTTTGATTTCATTAAATGCAGTGCAATTTTTTACATTACATTAATATCATAACTTTAGCATAATGACAACTGCAAATTATGCTGTTAGAATTGTCACGATCGTATCTCGTTTGAATTGTAAATTTTTGTTTCCTTCTTATCTTTACATTGAACGAAACGAAAGATTTTCACATCAGTAAACTCAAAAGACGTTACTACCATTTTTCAAACCGATTTCCCTTTCAAGCACCATTTTACCGTTTGGTATGAATTATCACAGCTTTCCATCGCAACAAATATCTTTACACCATACAACGTTGTGTACTACAATTAGAAGTACTGAGATTTTCTTGATTGCAAAATTCACGAGATCAATCGCAAAGGAAGATCGTTATTTACGAATTTACGGAATCGCTTTGTTATTTAAAGTAAGCAAAAGAAATAAAGTCTTTGGCAATACGTATATAAACGACGACAACATTCAAGTGACGCATCGCCGCGTTATGAATTACAACATTTCCAAAAGCAGCCACTTAAAGTTTCATTTTTATTAATATAAAAGAGATTCTGGTTATTTTACACAGCAGAGTCCACGGAAATCATTTTTTTTAGTCACAATGTAGGAAGCTCTAAGGACGTGCCAATGTAATCAAAAACGTTGCTTGTATACAATTACTTATCAACTCCACCTAATACATTTCTCGTAAGCTACTACTTAGTTCGTTCCGAACACTTTTTTTCCTTTTTTCTTCTTGCTATTTTATCTTAAATAGCAAATGTGATATAACATCAACGTCGTCTCAGTGTTTATCATCCATATGCTCGCTGATTATACGAGATATTTCAAGTGACATAAACTGAGAGATATGTATCTATAAAGCAAACAGTTGATATACAGATTTAAATATCTACCTTAGGGATTTTAAACTAAGTTATACCGCCTGGCCGATGAAATAAAGTTTCCTACGCAGATACGAGACAAAGGAAACTGGTGAAAGATTGCGTTAAATTGAAAAAAGATAATTTTCGTTATAAAAAGACCGCAAGATACTCATAGACGAATATTTCGCGAAATAAGGATTACCTTCGATACTGAATGATTTATAAAAAAGGATTATTGGTTTCCTGCCTATAGTGCAAGATCTGTTAGATAGCTGATTGTGGTATCAGAGGAATGTAACCATTATTTGGTTATATTAAGAGTGCAGAATGTGAGTTCGCGTAAAGCATGCGAGTTCATCATACGGAATCTTTCCTGACCTTCGACCCTTGACAAATGATAAAGTTCAATACTACGTTTTACACCAGTTTCCATAGATCGTATGTTTTGTTATGTTTGTCTAACTGCTGAGGCAGGCTTTTTCTTTTTTCTTTTAATCTTTTCCTATATTTTATGTACGTGTTTCAGGAAAAATAAAATACGAAAAAGATTTGTTAAATAGCGTACGATACGTTTTCATGTATATTATTACCTATTTGGCACTTTGAACCGATATTACGTCAAAATGAATCGACAATGATTGTTAATTTCATTAATATACTTTTTTATACTTCGCACGAGGTTTGCTATCGCGATGAGATAATTGTTGATGTTAACGTTAAATCGTGATTAACGCGCCACTAGTCGTGATTTTAGCTGAGGGTATGCATGTATGTATAATTATCCCTGCCGAACTAGTTTTGACTTTTGGACATTCTTTGAACATTCTAAAACATTGAATTTACGTTAAAACTGGTTTCCTATTGCTCTTAACATCTTTGTACCTTAATTTTTTAAGAATGATTCCCTAATAATTGGCATACCTGCATCATAGTTTGTTAGAAGAATAACATGTAATTTTCGTAATCTTAAGGCGCGTGCAGTTTTTTAAACTTTTTTTTTATTGCGCGTCTTTCGTTCGTTTTCTTTATGCAAACCTCACTTTTTTCGCTATTACGGAAGGACACTGGTTCTGGATATTTTATGAACGAGGTTCTACGCTACTTCAGAACAATTTTCCAAAAGGGTCACATCCTAAACTAGTAGCTCTTTAGCTTTGCATGCTACGAGCACCCAAAATCAGAATAAAAAATTTTCCTCTGCATTGTCTCAGTGGTGGCTCTAAAAATGTTCTTGTTTTTCTTTGTTCATTTTTTTTTGTTATGTCTTAAATATGAAACATTTACGCGAATAAAAAATATGTCGAGTCAAATGCTAATACTTAGTTTCCAGTAGTCATTGATTCTTGCCACAGCGAGTTCTGTCCAACATAGTTGCGTTGCATTAGCTTCAAATTTCTATGGTCACAACTCACTAGGTCTGATTTGTCACATCTATGTCACGTTCTGGAAGTGAGCAAATTTTGTGACTCGTTATAGAAGTTCACCAGGCCCATGGCAGATGCGGTACACTCTTCAGAGTGTTTTAGCCTTCTCAAGCAAATCGTTAATGAATTTCTGAAACAGACATTCTTATTCTGTAGACATCGATCATTCAATTTTTAATATAATTGGATAAGGAATATATTGAGCATTGCTTATTTTTCCTTCAACTTTACTACATTTACTCACTTTCACATCATGGGGAGGTTTTTTTGCATCTACCAATAGCTCCTAAAAATAAAAATTAAAGAATTGATGAAAATTACAAATGTACATATGAAATGAATTGTACGTGATATAGTACATTGTTGAAAATTTTACATACTTGTAGATAACTTCGTCTGTGATCATCGCTATCCATGTCGAGTAATTCATCTATGTCAACCTCAACTTCCCTGCTTTTCCCAGTTTCATTCTATATGTAAATTCAAGTTTTTTGTTTAACTAAACTGATTTAGTTGATAAGTTTTTTAACAAACAAGGTGAAATAAAATATATTATTTATTATAGAGTCTGATATCAACTTAATGCATAGTACTAATATGTAATAGAGACATAAACATTTTGTATACCAAAGCTAACTGGTGTATATCGAGGACTACTTACTACAGACTCATATAGTTTCTGTAATTCATCAAAAAGCCACATTTCAACAGCAAGTCTTTTACGAATGAGAGACATTTGATGTGATCCATATTTGGCTGTGAGGAACTTCTCTCTACGTTCTTTCACTTCTCCTTTTTCAGTGAATGCAACGTGCAAATTAGCACGAGCTGGACTACGTTCAGCTGTTAGCACACCTCCACCCTCCATTGTTAAATTGTCTAATATAACTGAAAGTAATACCATACACAGTTCTATAAAACAATTACACAAATTGTATAGATTATTTAATATAATAATGCAAATGCATATAGTAATCAAAAGATAAATTGAGCACTACATTTTTTGTATATATATTATTTATAATGTGTGGCATTAACACATTTTAGATTAAAATCATATATGTGAAATATCAAGGAATTATATTAAAATAATATATATCCTTTTTATAAATCCCGATCATGTATTACTGTCTTCCACAAAGCATATACCGTTATGTTTTATTATTACAATGAATTTTATTTCAATATATTTCCATTAAAAAATACATTTTCTCATCAATCCCATGTAAAGAAAGCAATCAATAAAAATTCAACGTCGATTAAATTTGACTATTAAAAATTTCTCTTCCTGCATATTATGAAAAACAAAATGCAATATTCGTATTATAAATTTTATCTTACGTTAATAATTATTATCAAATCCCAGTCATCTATTGCAGTTTTAAGTAGCAAATAAGGATTCCGGTTTAAAAACGTAATTTCTCCCGTCACGGTTCGATAAACTGTGATTGGTGTGTTAACCGGAACTAAATACAGTAGATAAATACGAAATTTAATGAAGAAGATACGATGATGAATATATAATCCGTGGTATACCGTAAGAACCCGGAGGTTCTTCAGCAGACAAGGCTAAATTTACGATTATAGGATTCCGCGGCGTTGAGCGTTATAATTTTTACTCCATTTTCATTAACCAAAATAGTATAAATATATAAATAGCGCCTGTTTTTTTCATGTTACAGCACGGCAGTGAAGATACGTCTAGAAAATGTCAGGATAAATTTAATCCCGATACATCCGGGTATATACTTACTAAATGTTTAGCCAATAACGAGAACGGTGTTCAACACCGTGGTAGACGCACAACACGCACTTCGCTCGATAAATAACTAGAAAAATGACAAAGCACGCACTCGTCACCCTATACAAATCGTCTCACAAACTTGCAACAACCAAACGAACAACAAAGAAGACAATCAAATGATTATGGATGGACAGACAACGGCACAAAAGAAGAGGACGTTATCCGGTACATCAGAATTGTCGAATCTGTTTGGTACTGCCTGGTGTTTGGCAGCGCCATCTTTTACTAGATAAAAAATATAATAGAAATTCGAATAGGACAATTTTCAGATTATTTTTAGTATTCCTTCTTTTTCTGGCTTTTAAGTGATTAATATAAATTTCAAGTATAACTTAAGTTTGCAATGTTTAATTAGCACGTTTATACAATGTTTCTAAGACAGTGAGAATGTAATGCGTTTTGAATGTTGTACATTTTTATTTAGTAACTTTAATGTAAATTTTCAGTCCGGACTATAATCATATATTTAAATTATATAATTAATAAATTCAATAAGATATACAAGGATTTACGTTAGAAGCGCGACAGAGAATTTCGTTATTTTTAACAGAGATATGATGTATGCGCTAGATGGCTGTACGTTTATTTTCTAAAGGAAGTTGTCTATCTAGTAGGATTTTGATGTTCAGTGTGTCTGGGATAATGGACAATATATGTGTCAAATACAAGTGTATGTAGACTTTAAAATTTTATGAAATCGGGTACACTAATCAAGTAACCTGTTTTCATTGATATTAATATAATTGTGAACTGGGAATCAGCAGGACTTAGGTAAATGCTATGGAGACTGTTCATAGATTTTTTGAGATTATCGAATAGTATTGTTGGACATTACAAATGTCTGATTTTCATTTTGTCACAGGGATATATTTTTTATAGATTCATCCTTCGTAAGAAAAATGAGTTCAGGATTTATATCAGAGGCTGAATTGGCAGAGCAGCGAAAGTTGCGTCAGGAAGAATGGGAACGCGTGAGAACAGCAGAGCAACCAGCAGGTTAGCTGATGGATGTAATTTTATGCTCCAATTCGATTTAACTAAGGTTTTAAATTCTCAATTTTTTAATATTTACTCTTGCAAATTACTCATTCCTTAGCTTTTTTTATTTTCAGAGGCACCTGAAGCACAATATGACCCTAGATCGTTGTTTGAGCGATTACAGGAGCAAAAAAATAAGCGTGACATTGAGTATGAAGAGGCTCATAAACTGAGTAGGACAATAAGTATTTTGTTAAAAATAAAAATAAATTTTTCCGCAGTTTTTAATTGATAATTGTGACTTCTTTTGCAGAGAACATGATAAAGGGTTTGGACGATGATGAAGTCGAATTTCTTGATTTGGTGGATAGAACTAAGTTGGAAGAGGAACGTAAAAAAAATCTTGAGGAAGAAAAAGAAATGAAGGACTTTAAGGCTGCCGTTGCCTCTTTGCAAGAAAAAACTTTAGATACAAGATTAAAGCAAGAGCTTAAAAACACTCAAACTGTTAATAAAAATGTGTCTAGTGGAAGGTATAACAAGATTTATGCTACTAATACAAAAAATATATTGCATTAACCATTATTATTTTCATGTAGTGGGAGGACTTCACAACTAAGATTACTAGCTGGTGCTGTAGTTAAAAAGGCTGGTCAGTATATAAAGAAAATCAAACAACGCATGATGTTATAATAAAAGAAAATCATGTACAGGAAACGATGTAAGAGGAACTAAACGGAAGCTATCCGAGACCGAAGAAAATAGTGAAGACTCTCATATCAAGTCTGCAGACAGTTCTTCTTCAAACAAAGGTTCCAGAGGAAATATTGAAGATGAAACACTAAGTGGTACAAAAAGAAAAATTGATGAAGTTTCAAACTTTAATAATCAAAGACACACTGGAGGAATGAAGTGTATAGGAATATTACCAGGGCTTGGTTCTTATCAAGATTCCAGTGACAGTGACTGCAGCTCTGATACAGATCAAGAACCTGAACCAAATCAAAGCAAGTATGATCTTTTAGGTCGAGAGATTGAATGCCCAAAGGATAAGGAAAAAAGTTAGAATTTAAATATTCTTTTAAAGACGTACAAAAGGATGGGCAAATACGATGAAATAAACCTATTTGTATTTAAATGTATTGTAATTGCACACCTTTTAAAAAGCTATGTTAAAATGAATATTAATTTTTAACTATAAGAATTAGATGATACGATTTAGCCTATATAAAACTATATAAGTTACTCAACTAGTGCGTACAATCGGACTGCTAAAATTTTTCTTTTTAAATAATCTAGTTTCAGATATACCACATGTGATGCAACAAAATTAAAATAATGAATATTAATTGAGAGTATTGGTTATTTGCAAATAAAGAGCAACCAAGGATTGGATATAAGTATGTCTTGAAAGTGAATCATAATTGTGACATTGCATCGAACGTCTTGTATGTACATAATCCTGTAACCATATTTATCAGTCGTCTTTCAAAAATAACAAACAGTACTCGATTATAATCTTAGATATTTGAAGTTACAAGTAAATTATTTTGAATCGCAAGATTGGTTTTTCACGCAAAAAATTAATCACGCATCGTTTGATCGATGTATATGGAATAGTAGTTAAAAAGCACCAAAAATATACACTACTGCTATTACTTTTTTTTTTAAAAGAATGAATTATTTTGTATAAATTAAACGTAAGTATAATATTCCTATTAATCTTTCATTAGGGTTTACATCTTAGTCATATAAAACAATAAGTATATCAATTGATAAAAAGGATCAATTTCTATTGAATTTTTGAACATTTTGCATCATATAAAAAAGATATCACTTTCGGCCATACCGACATATGGTATCACTATCGTTATATGACATGTTTGGTTATACCATATATCTGTACTTGTGGACTGTGCATTTATAAATACAAGATTATTATTTTGGCTTGAAGTAAATATGTCAGAAGAAAATCCAGAATCTTTACTAAAAAATGATGCTGGAAAAAATAAGGATAAGGTATTCTGTACGTTTTGTCCATCGAAAGTGCTGAATCAAGGATCTGCCACATTTGTAAACATTCAGGTTAGCCTTTTAACATTAATAATGCATTTGTGATATAATTTTATAGAGTTTGATATGCTTTTTTTAATTTTACATTCAATGTTTGCTAAGAATTAATAGTTTCTTGTATTATTTTGAACGGTTCTGCTGCATAGTATAAATTATAAATATTATTGGTTGTTTTATCGGTAGCATAATTTTCATGGATTGTCATTCACATGTGTTAAAATCTAAAATTTATCTGTGATAATAATAAAACCTTAATTTACTTTATATTTAAATTAGAAATGTACTTTCAGTTTTCTTTGCCATATATGCAACGAAAAGGAGATGGCCAAGCAGATGAACGAGAATCAATTTCTGACTATTGGCTGGTAGAAGACATGTATACATTTGAAAATATTGGTGTGTCAAATACTGTCGAAAATGTAAAATACTTAGCATGTGCAGACTGTGAGAGAGGTCCTATTGGTTGGCATGATTTAAAAACCAAAAAGTCATACATTGCGCTGTCTAGAGTCAAACACGCATAAAAATACATAATGATACATTTATTTGTTTATATTTCTACAATATACTGCAAAATGATAAAAATGCTGAACTTATATCATATTTCGTTAGAGTATAATTAAATATGTCATAATTCTAGAATAAGACATATTGTAAAATAAATATTTTTCACGATATTTCCGAGACTTTCATAAGCTGTCTTATCATGTATGCAATTGTTCATAAGCGTGAGTCCAATATATGTATGAGCCATTGTTTATTTCTTGAAATTCACGTTGCTATTGCATTTTACAAATATAAACTAGACAATGTATGAATATCCATGACCATTCATAGTTCTTGGTTCATATTCAAATCATACAATATTTTTATACATGTTGTATAGTATGGTACACTGTGAAAAGTGAAACTGTGCGACTATTTGTTATGTGAGGTATCTTATTCGCTACTACTCGCTCAGTGATGTACTTATATTTGCTCGACATGAAAATTTACGTAATCGTAGGTAACTTCACATTATCTGTCTATATCACGTATGTGCGACAGCTTCACCTAGGATTTAACACGATTTGCAGCAAGTTCCAGGCGTTTTATTTGAGAGGCAAATATTTATTTGCTTTGGAGAGATCCGCACTATAAACAAAAGTGGATTTTCCTACCTCAAAGTTGCAATTTTAGTGCAGTACACATATATATATATATATATATATATGTATATACCCATGCCATGGTATATACAATACCAATATGTATATATATATATATATATATATACACATATCCACTATATTTGTTCATCACAATGCAAATTCCCACTTAAGTTATGTTAATGTAAATTAAATGTATCGTATTTAGCGTTCTCTTCATTTATGACCAGAAAAAAAGAAAATTGATCACAAAAATATTAAAAAATTAAACAAATCCTAACTGCTAAGAATTGTATAAATTATTATGTAATTAATACATGAAGTCGATAATGATAATCTTTAAAAGTGAAAGAGAATATGTCTCTGTTATCCAGTTTTCGAAATTCTTTAAAAGAGCCTTAATGAATTCCAAGTCATTGCGTCATGAGTTTTGTCTATTCGTGGCTACTTACTAGAAAAGAATATTTCTTGCCTTTAATGTGGTAAACCGTCTATTAGTTATCCAACATATTGTAATATTCGCGATCTAATCCCAGATAAAAATCGTCTTAACTATTACAACCGTTAAAAAAGAAAACGAAGTAAAAAAAGAGGTCTCGTGCAAATCACATTTTCACTGGTTTATGTTCGAATTCCGTGTCGACGTTCAACTAAACGATTCGCGTAATTATGCAGGTAAAGATCAAACTGTATTTACGTATGAGGAAATTATTTGAGGAAGATCCCAAAATTCACGGAAACTATTGACAGTTCACTTCAAAGTTTGGTATTAGAGAAACCGTCTTTATCCAAATTCGTAAGTACATCAGTGCACGTTATTTCTCGCTGTTGTGTTTGATTCTCTAGAAATTTCAGCATTGCTCAACGTCTCGAGAGCCGTAAGTAGCGAAGACACGAAGAAGATATGTTCGATGACGTGAAACATCCTTAAGGAATAATAAACTGTAACTATTTAACAATTGATGATTCTTTTATTACGAGGGTGAAAAACATCACGCAATATTCACTATACGGCTCGTGTTTTCATAAAGATACTTGAATGAAGACTATCATTTATTTCCTGTCGTTTACATAAAACTAATTAATATTAAAATCACCAATTTACTTATCCATTTTCGGATTGAAAACTAGGAAGGGACTACGTAAGGTAAAACTACGTTACTCTTCTGTTTGCGTGCCTTTGTACTTTCTATGCGCTGATGCACGTAATGCAAACTATTGTGTGTACGTGCCTGTACCTATTCATCTCGCGCGAGTAACGACGAAAGATCGATTCTTCAAATATCTTCGAGAAAGCTGCGAAACACAGATAGTACGTGATTGATACAGCCATAAAATATTAGAAAAACAATTAAACGTTACGTGGCCGAAACTTATATCGACGAATCAAATAAAGGAATAGAAAGGACGATTTTTAATAAAAAACATACTCTACTCTTTACGTTCTTTAAACGGTATATACTTTTACTGATTACCGATTGCACATTACGGTTATAATCATAACGACACTGTTGCGAATAAAAGTAATTGTCAGTAACGAAAATTTCATTATCAGTTTCAAGTGGTTTATTGTGCCATGTCAGCATCTGTTGGCAATACCTGAATGGACCTACAACCGCGATGCTGTATCCTCTCTAATGAAAAAGGTCGATATCATTGAAACTCTTATGAAAGGAAAGGTTTTAAATAATCTTGACATTTTTTTGAAGGACATCACTCCGTGTAATTAACTATTAATAATGTAATACTACTGTCGATTGGTCCAGCCATACTTTTACTGCGGTTAGGTTGACACGCTGTCTGAAACAAATATGGATGTGCTTCAGCCTGGATGATTTTTACGCTTTATAATTATTTTATTTATAAATAATAAATTTAAGCTCGGTTATCGATAACGAAGCAATATACGTTAATTAATAAAGTGCTAATACGTGTCTAATGATAGTTCGTAATATTGGCCAAGTTTCGTAGAGGCTTTTGATTCCTCCTAATGGCTTACAAATTAGCAACCAAATGTTTGAACTTTCCTCTGAGAGTCATTGATTACAAATGTTTATAAATTCTGTTCTAGCATTATAATCTGAAGGCCGATAGTATTGCACTATACAAATTTAACCTAAAAACAAGCTATTGTCAATTTTTTTATTTAGATTTCGTTATAGATTTCATAGGAAAGGAATTATTGTCTATACAATCTACACATTAATGACTTCCTATACGTGATAATTTATGAGGCTATTTAATTGTTGAATTATACAACAATTTATTTTAATCCTGTACACCATATTTGGAGATGAACAGAAGTAAGGTCTGTCGTGGTTTCAAATATGGCGAAGGATTAGAATGCATTGGACGAATAATAAGTAATAAAAATAATAAAATTATTGTCATCAGTATAATACGTGACATATGCATGGTGTTCCGTGTTCAAGGCATAATGAGTAGCAATGTGCCCACGGTGCATTAGCATACAGTATATTATCTCTTGATCTCAACTATACCTTTTCTCTGGTCAATAATTTTTTTACTGATCTCCAAGAATTTTGAATTTTGTATTTGAAATTAATTCAGAGGTCGGTATGAAAATGGAAGTTTCGTCAATACAGATTTGATCGATAACACCATGGTACATACGAAAGGTATAGTTAAATTGCAGTAGTACTGGTGGAGGTAATTCTCTTTCTAAAGAGTGCCGAGTACGGGGGTATATATTACCTATATAAAGCTTGAATGAAGATGCTCTCAGGTATTCACTCTCACCTTTCTCATATAAGCGCGTGCACCCATCTCCTTTGGATTTTAGTCAGCATCCACTCACCCTATGAAGGATACGTAAACGCGTGAATCGTGTATCATATCGGTGAGTTAAATTAACTTGAATTTAAAAATATATATTTTCAAAATGTTTTACCTTATCGAATTGGGATATACGTCTTAAGATCTGTAAAAAAAAAATTAATTAGAAGCCATCACAGTGTATGTTTGTATAACAATTATTTATTCTTAAGCAACGTAGAGTTTGAAAAATATCAAATATTTCTAATCTACGATGAATAATGTATGTCAATGAAGAAAACAAGATTTAAAATCCATTAATCGTTGTACAAATGCATTAGACGTTGGAATTACGAGTCTTTCTATAGGATTAAAAGAAATTTTTTCTTTTTTTTTAATTCGATGCCTTGGGGAAAGTCAACTTTTATTTTATATTTGTACTCGAAATTGTAAGTACTCGACGAAATAAGAGTTTCGAAACGAAAATTTATCGAGTGTTTAGATCAGTCAGTTCTGAAGAAAGTAATGGCTGTTCATGTAGTCTATGTAAATATGAATAAGGTGCTGGTGATTATACGTGTATAGAGAATACACTGGGGTAATCGTATAGATACACGCAAGTAAAACATATATTGTTTTCAATTAACAGTAGCAAAGTACATTTGCTCATGGTGTAACATGTAAATATACATAGTCACTTAGTAATTGTACATTTTTTAACATGGCCACAATAATCTACACTCGGCGATAGCTACCAATTACAGGCATTAGGGTACTGGAGAAGCGTTAGAAGAAAATATAGTACAGTTGCCTTACTAAACAGATGATCCCGAAGAGAGGTTAATTAATTGAGGTCATTATATGCTCAGTACCTTCAGTTTAAGTACAGAATATGCACTCTAGTAACATATATAATTACTAAAATGATGACTCCAGTTGATTAATAAACTTTTGTTTTTTATTCATTGAATAAATTCCTCATTATAATTATTTAAAATATGCAAGACCTCAATTTATGATGAACTTAGATTTTTATGTAGTGAAATAGAAAATTTGCATAATGATGCAAAGTTTCATGACCCGGTTAGCGTAGCTAGGATTGAGTAATACGTTATACTAAAAATGACACTGACTTTGATTTAGACTTTTTTTTTATATATGGATCGTAAGAAGAAAGTGCATTTTCTCAGAGACAAAAATTAATTTTGTATTCGTGTCGCGTGGAAATAGAAAATCATCATGTTCATCTTTGATGTTACTTTACAAATTCCTATATAAGAAAATCGATGTCCCGGTAACCCAGACCTATTGAATGTAACAGTTTCTAAGGTGAAACTTGGTCTACCCTATATAGGGTCACCGTGTGGCTAAGTGCGCTAACGATTTTCTTCTTGCAAGGCAAAGTTCGCGACATTAGAATGGAAAACAATAAAACGACCGAAGAAAGTCATTTGTGACGTAACGTATACGAGCATTTGATCTCGTGAAGAAGCTTGTTATGCCAAACAACGGTGACACAGTTTTATTGTATGTATTTTTTATGTAATATACACACCATTAAAATTTTCACATTATTATTCGTGTCTTCCAATTAATTAAAAATCGTCTCACGCATGCGATACGGCCGTCGAAATTTTATGCGAAATTTTCGTTTAGACGATTCCCAAAAAACAAAGATTGCACAATTTTATGTGCGTTACCAGAAACAACACTGTATAGTTTCGTACAACATTAATACGAGAAAGCATTGTGACGCATCGATTTCGAAATTCATTTTAGAAAAATATCGGGAATATTGCGTGATCTTACATTAAGAATACTTGTGTGTACATACAGATGAATGATCTGATTTAACGAAAAACAGTTGCAGACGTGTTAGGACAATTAACCTCACTTTCGAGACACGTAGAGACACTTTAGACTGATTTTACGAAATTTTATTATGCCTGAGTCTATTTTCATTGAACAACGAGACACATTTGCTCTTGGGATTTCGAAAACGTGCGAACGACATACGTACCAAATGTGATGCCGGAAGGGATTTGTAAATTGTACAGTTAGAAAGTGAAGATATTTCTACGTAACGAGCTTTGTTAATTATTTTCTCATTTCTTTAAATTCGCGCGATTAGCCACTGTTACCTTGGAAAGATTTGGCATTGAAGTAAAAAAAAAAGTAATATTAAATAAGAAAAGATGTACGGTGGAATTGTGCCATTCGTCACGTACATATAAGGACGTCGATCATTCTTTAATTTAGGACACGCGTTGCGCAAGCCTAATTTTATTCTCACTTAATAAACGACTATTAAAAGCATTATAAATATCTTACCGCAAGGCTTAAGATGCAACTACAAAATCTCAAGTGCAGGTTGCACTTTCCTCATCCACAAACCGCAACCAGCATCCCGACTGGCGAATTCGCACGACAATTATTAAAATGACGAGTGGATGCATAGCAACTGTCATTAAAGTCAAGTGATGTAGCCATGGGCATTATGAAATACGGTCACTGAGAGAAAATTCGTGTGTTAAATAATGCATTTAAATGAGAGTATCAATTACGAGCATATAATCCGATATAAATTGTTCGAAAATTATAATGAGCATTCACTATGTATTTACCGTACGTAGAAAGAATAGAACAAACTGAAATCTCGTCGCGTGAAAGCAACTCGAAATACATGGACAAGTAAGACAATTCGAAAAGGTTCGATTGTCGCATATCGTATAAAGGGATCGAAAAGAAATAATCGCAGTGCGATACCTCGATTTATTTAGACTTGTAGTGACTATATGATCATTCGCTTGTGACTGCTGATCGTGTTTCAGAAGAGGTTATAGCGATTCGACTAGGGAACTTTGTGTCACATAGGTTATGTAGAGATAGAAGATGGTACCTTAAGATTTAAGCGGAGATGATTTCGCCTGATGCGACTTTCACCTTTCACCTTTTACCGTGCACGATTCCGTAGACAAGCATTACGAGCTCTCCCTCTGGGACTCGTAAATACTTGGTTAGACAGTAAAAGTACCTATAGGATCTCTGGTCGCGATTGCTCACTCGATTGGTTTCACTGACACTCAATTGGTCCGTCAGTGGGGATGATGATGGCGGGACTACAACGTCAGTATTTGAAGATCATCGAATTACAAAACTTCAATTACTAAATAGAAATTCCGTTAGAGAATTTGAGTCGGTGATTATATTCATTAGAAAGAATTGTGTTTCTGTACAAGGACTAATGATGGTTTTTTTTTTACATAGGTGTAGTACGATTGTTATGGGTGTAGTGAATTTGGACACTAATAGAATTGTGGAATTTAATAATCTATTTTGGTTATAAAACAATTTATTCTCATGTGTGCTGTAAGAATTTGTGTCACGAGGTGAAATTTGTAGCAGTCATAGATCAGAATAATGGTGACAAGGTTTATTCAAAAAAAAAATCATCGATCAACCGACGTCGAGTCATTGTGTAGTCTATTTAATTCTTTTGTAAATTTAATAACGCCTACTACCAATTGGCAAGTGGAAGTCAGTCGAAGGAAGAAACGAGACTAAGGATCGTAAACAGCCTGACGTAGGCAAGGTCTACTGAGGATGGACCAGTCCTCAAGATTTTCGAGTGACGTCATTCTACCAAAACGTGTAACTTCATAATGACTACTTTCTACTTTCCACGAGTGAGCAGCGGGTTGGTGAAGTTGCACTTCTGAAGAAAACGCGTTGATGGTCCTGAGGGCTCGTATTTTATTCAGGGGGTCACTGATCTTTATAGAAAATGACGGGAGAGTTGATATTCTCGATAATCATCAACAGGCAGTTGCGTTATAGCAAAGTTGACTGCCTTGACCCAAGATGGATTGCAATGATTGCTCGATAGTTTTTTGACTAAAATACTTTAGGATATTCGACAGTCATTGTTTCGTAGATAGAATATTGAAGATGTTGAGAAATTTACGTAATTGTAATTCGTAATACGTAATTGATTTCTTCATTAACATACTATTATTATGCAATGCCATGATAAATCTTGGATATATATTTTTTGTATTATTGATTACAGAATTGGCTGAGAAAATTTATTGGGAAATGATTAAGTGCGATTTGGGAATATAATAATGAATCTTTATTCAACGAGATATATATGACTTATGTACGTTACGAAGTCTTGTGGCATATTCCCACATACGCTTCAGACAGATGCGTGAACTTTCTACCTATTTAAAATGACTATACTCGGTATATACTTGCATATACTTCTAAATAACATCATTCGCGCCGGACAATAAACCTATAGTATATATTATACAATGATATACCTTTGTATAGAGGCGCGCAGTTCAACATAAGCCTTTCTTTCCTTTTTACATTTCTTTCTCAGTAAGGATTCCGAGCTTTTACGTTAACTCTACATTTTCTTAAGATTACGCCAAGGCAATACGGCGTTTTCACTCTTAAGCCATATTTACATGTTAACTGTCTGTTAGAGCTGACTTTCACCCTTGGCATAAGATTCATTTTCAATTTGAATCAGTTTGCTTTTTCAATTGAATGAGGAATTATGTTTTAATTATACTATTATTATGATTTGATTGAATCATTTTTACTTTATTCTAATACAGCTGCAGGATGAGATTAATTACCGCAACCTTAGTGGCAGTGCTTGTCAGCGCAGTAACTACTCAGGAGCGACATGCCCTCTTCGTGAGAAAGTCTGCGAGTGAGTTACACCTTTATGTAATATTATTTTGACAGTAAATTATTTGATTTTTAAACGTTTACCCATTCAGGCCATTCGAGAGCCGTGCGAGCTGCTCCGGATACGCCAGCAGACGTGATGGCTCGAAATATCCTAGAGTGGATTCAAGGCATCTACCGTCAGGGTACACGGAAAAGTAGGTTTTACATACCCCGAAGTAACATTCGTACTTCGTGTAATATTCAATAAGAAGCACATCATAATTTGTTCATAAAGCTTTCAGGCATGTTCTCATAGGCGGAGAAAAGATGAAAAAGAGAAACCATAGAAAAATGTAATATTTCATCAAGTTCAAGATTATTTCATTTTATAACAGATTCATCACAGATTAATTTTCGTGTAAAGACTAATAATATGTTTTATAATTTGTCTTTAATACCAATTCATTTGAATTCAAGCCATTTCATCAACGGAAGTGTGCAGAGAGATGATCTGTTATTAGTGAAGATGTATTTTTTATTTTCAGTTCGGCAGCAGTCTGAACCGAATGCTTACCTACCGCCATACAGTACACAAAGACCAATAGAAAGACCAAGACCGTTCCAGCCAGCTTCAACGCCTCCACAACAGACTTACTCTCCACCAGACGTTCAGTACCAGAAACCATCATCACAACCTAGTTATGGAGCGTCATCATTACCAACGTCAAGACCAACTTATATACCACCTGCAACTAACCAGCAGTCAGCATCATCGGGTTTTGGTGCCTCGGTTGGCTTCAGTTCCTCAGCAGGTTACAGTCCTCAATCGATTCCAACTTCAGCACCTCCGTCTTACTCAGGAAGTGGTCAATCGACTGCAGGATTCTCGTCCTTAGCATCTGTAGGATTTTCCTCTTCAGCAGCTTCTGGATACCCATCTTCACCTTCGTCCGGATATCCATCATCAGCACCTGCATCAACGACACTTCAACCTCCTGTAAACGTTGGCTACCCATCAGCTTCATCGACTTATCTGCCACCGACTAATACAGGTTATCCGTCGATCAATAAGCAAACCTCAAAATCAGCTACACCTGTGGTTTCCTTTCCCTCTACGACCTATGGGTACCCATTGTCATCTAGTCCGTCACCTGGTTTCCCGACGCCCGGAAGTACGTCTGAATCTGGAGGTTATCCCTCCTCTGTGGCACCTTCACCTTCACTCCCATCTCCTGTTCCAGGAGGTAAGATAGTCCGTACCTGTAAGAATTCATAATGCATCATAGAGATACTCCGTGAAACCGCATGCTTAATTTTTTTTAAAAATATTTTCAATAATACATTATATGTGATTTATATAGACACAGGGGCTAATGGTGAAGATGGTTCAGCAACTTCAGGAACAGGAACCTCTGTTGACGTTAATACCGATGGTGGTGATGATGATCTGAAGCATCCTCCACATATTCATAATATTGATGTGGAATGTAGTAAAACTATGATGACTATTAACATTGAATTTAATCGGGAATTCGATGGTGTCATCTATTCGAAGGTAAAACACGGTTCGGAATTGTTCATCATTTCCTGCTCATTTATCAAGGGTACACAAATATTTTCCTTTTCGTGTTACAGGGGTACTACACAAATCCAGACTGTCGTTATGTATCACAGAATTCTGGTCAAAAAGAATATTCTTTCACTGTCAGTCTAGATTCTTGTGGTACTCAGTTTATCAACGATTTCGAAGGAGAGGCTGGTCAGGCGTACTTGGAAAATGTTTTGGTACTACAAGTAAGTTTCTTTTTTTGTAACAAGATTTTCATGAATCAATATCTATACATTTTATTTGCATATTTCAATGATTCTATTTTAGAACGAACCAGGTATTCAAGAAGTTTGGGATACAGTGCGCAGAGTACGCTGTTTGTGGGAAGGAAATATTAACAAGGCTCTTTCTGTGAGTTTGTCAGTCGACATGTTGAATCAAGAAATCGTCACATTTAGTGGTGACACTGCGTCAGCCAGATTAGATATTCAAACCGGACGTGGACCTTTCGCACCAGCTGCCGATGGCCTAGTCAAGATAGGTGAAATCATGACCCTAGTTGTGTCTGTCGAGGGTGATCCTGGTTTTGATTTACAAGTATGTTTCTTAAATAAACATACAGATTTTAAGTACGTAAAAAGTATCCCATTTGTTATAGAATAACTTTTTTTTTAAATAGGTGCGCGACTGCATTGCTCGTGATGAATCATCAACCAATACTGTCCAGTTGACGGATGAACGAGGCTGTATTTTAAAACCAAAACTGTTTGGTGCTTTCCAAAAAACCAGGGATACTGGTAACACGGGTGCATCCATCATCGCCTATGCATTCTTCCAGGCATTCAAATTTCCAGATGTTATGGATTTATTTATTGAGTGCAATGTTGAATTATGTAAGACTGACTGCGACGCGTGTCCAGATCCGAATCAGGTACAGTAGTGTGTATTAGTAATAATTATAAAAATGATTGAGTCAAGTATTTATGGATTGTTTGTTTTTTAGCAAATTGAACCACGTAAAAGGCGTGACGTCACTTATGCCGCTTCCAATATTACCGGAGGAGCTTTATCAGATCCAGTTCGCGTTAGTCGTGGATTCAAGGTCATCATGCCTGATGACTTGAGTCAAGCCTCTGTACAGGCTTTGGAGAAGATGGAAATGACCATCGATGAAATCAGTCAAATCAGGAACGTGTGCATGAGTCACGGAGGATTTTATGCAATGTTTTCTCTTTTACTCAGTTTCCTTGTTATTACCACGATAAGTACCGCCATATTATATTTGAAATTACAAAAAATCCGGACGGCAAAAGGTTCTGATCTACCCAAAGGACACTAAGGATTTTTTTAAATGTAGAACTGTCATTCTACTTGACACCTTCATAATCAAGGATATTTAATCGTCACTGTTGAAACGAAAAATCATTCATTAATATTCCTCGACTGACGAAATGGGAATTGACAAGTCGATGGTATATTCGTTGACAATTTGCAATTATACTCAAGACTCAGCTTAATAGTAACAAGAGTAAATTGGCATTTCTTTGTTTTTGTAAAGTACAGATTTCACTGTTAAACTTGCGCTGTAATAAATTGTTTTTCTCAATTTTGGAAATAGGTTTTGCATTCTTATCTATTTTCTTTGGATTTACATGCCTTGTGCCATTTACTGTACATGCCAACATTGTATAAATATGAGGATTATATCTGGATGTAGGAATACCTAAAATCATTAGGATGGATAACTTCAAATTCAAATACGAGCAGTTATTTTTTCGATAGCCAGTTATTTTATTTTGAGTACAATTACATATATTAATAAGGTACTTGTATAACTAATACAATCTAGTGCATAATGTTACATGTATATACAGAATCTATGCTGAAATAATTTACACGTTTCATAGAAATGTAAAACGTATGTCATTGCCATACAATTGACAAAAATTAAAACATTTCTTTGTTTCATCGCAGACATGCATGTGGAATAATCTAATTAAGCTACTCATCTCGATCAACATCAGAATTGATTCTTAAGAGATTGTGTAGTGTAGCGGAAATAATTAGATTCCTCTGTACACGTAAGAAATATTTTCAAAATTTTTGTTATATTTCACACTAAAATTTTTTGTGAGTCTGGTGTCTCCATGTATTTAGAGGTAGGATATTTAACGTATTGAACTATTCTAATCATACGATTAAGAAAGTTTCGCAGCCTTTTCTATTATACATTATTCAGTTTTGTCCCGTTTTCTTAAATCGCAAAATATGTAAGTGTTCTCCTCTTACTTTTCTGTCCATAACAACTTCACCTTTCATATCTAAATCTTTGAAGATTTGAATTATATACTCTGGATCATTTTCTTTGATAACGACTAAGTAAAAATATCCGTTATCAGATAATAATTTTGGAATATTTTCAAATAGTCTTTCCATCACTTCTCTACCTTCTTTCCCTCCAGCCCATGTTTTGGAAATTAATCTTTCATCAAGAACTTCTAGCGATTCGGTAACAACATAAGGTGGATTAAATAAAATTATATCAAATATGCCTCTAGCATAAATATTGTTAGTCAAATCCATTTGAATAACATCAATATTGGTAGAGTTGGCTATGCTAGTTTCTTTTGTGACTTTGCAAGCATTAGGATTCAAGTCAATTGCACAAAAGTATGCACCATTATACTTTTTTAATGCTGCTGCCAGAGCAGTAATAACGATACCTGATCCGCTTCCAATTTCTAAACAAAGTTGTGACTTTTGTGATTTAAATGTTTCTAAATCAGCTTCTAAGGCATCTATGAGAAGAAACGAGTCTTCTGAAGGTTCATAAACAGTATCCAAATCTTTGTTTGATAGTTTAACTATTGGTGTTTCCATCTTTGATATAATTCTTTTTATAAAATCCCTATGAAACAGTCCATTAACATATAGCACATTTTAATTATCTCAATAAGAAATTATTTAACAGCAGTATCAGTGTTGGAATTTTCTGTAGATGGAACATTTTCACTGTCAGCATCTTGTTTCACTTCTCTGCTAGTAACTGTAGTGCTGTGCGATAGACTATGATCGAACAAGGCTTTTCGCTTAACTGTATCTCTTTCGACAGCTTGGTGAATTTTATTAAGGCAATCCTGTGTTGTTTGCAAGATATTACTAACTATGGTAACTTTGTGTTTGGCATTTACAAGCTTCTTAACATAAGACTCCAATTCCAAAGGACATTGTAGGACTTCTGATATCTTCAGCAGTTCATCGGTTAATGATTCAATCTGTTGTTTCAACTCGATCTGGCTAATCCTGAATAAAAATAAGTAGCCTCATTGAATAATGTAATTTATTCCAGCTAATATATCTTATTATGCCATTAATAAAAATAAATCCTCAAATTAAAGTATTATAAAAAATTACTCCAAAACAGCTAAATACATGAAATTTATTAAAATTACCTAGTAGCACGAATTCTTTCATCCAGTTGATCCACTGTGGGTTTAAGAAGTCCCATAAGACCTTCGGTGAGTGCATCTCTTGTCGGATTTTCACAAAAATCTTCCGTTTTGTCGTCTATAGACGTATTGTCACTCGCTGTATCAACGTCCATGTTGGTATCACAGTATCACAGAAATATGCGCTGCGCAGATTAGAAACTGTCAGTAATCAGTATGTTGACGAATCACATCAATTTTCTGTAAATATCCACTAGGAGTCTCGTAGTGCACTTCTGAAATAATCTGTGCTTCTGTGGTCGATATTACAGATATCGACGTTAAACCTCAGCGGATACAATAGTTTCTCCGTTGATCACCAGTGACAAAAACACTCTTTGATTACTTTATCAGCAGGATTTTATCTGCTCTTCCATTTATTGGTAACCAGTAGGAACATTTACCACCGACGTGGTTCGATTTAGAACACATTATCTAGAACCACTGCATGTTAGCTGGCCCGAAGGCGTCTATAGAAAGTGAAGTATCCTTATCCCGCACATCGGCGTATACCCTGAAGCTCCTAGAAGAGAATGACCTCATTCTTAGGTGATACAATTCCAATCTTCTCCAAACCCTGATGGAATTGCAGCCAGATGGTATCTATGCCCTATTTTGATTTTCGTTTTGACGGAGACTGTTAAAAATGGAGTTTTATGCTTGGACATTTAATTAGTGGAGAATTTACTCACGCCATGAGCTTTATAGCTGTGTTAATATTTACTAATAATCAAGTCTAATAGCGCTATTGACTTATAAATATAGTCGTTATAGAAATTCACTCTACCACATTAGTATAACTGCTCTATTAAATTGGTAATGTCATATAGTTACAGGATATTCTTGAAGGTCCGTAATGTGTTGATAACTTTCTTATGCATTTTCATAAATTGAAGATATATGGTAGTACTGTAAGATTATTTAGTGAAAATAGTCTCACTTATAATACCAGTAATAACATGAATTATACGATATACGAGGACGGGTAAATCTATATGTATATGAAGTTACGTTAATGGAAGTTTCAACAAACCTTGCGTTTCCTCCCTTAGGTTTTCTCAAGATGTCTGCCTTGTTCACGCATAACACGCCCGGCAAAAACTTTGTAATGAGCGGAACGAGCCGAGGGGTGATGTTTGCAAATCATTAGCCTGACGGCAAAAGCGCGCTTCGCAGCTAAAGGGAGGAAACGTCTCGACCATCGCATTTTATTTACAAGTAGAAGGTAAATTTGAAAATGTATTCTGTAATTAGAATCTGGCTTTAAGGACGATTCTTCAAAATAACTCATTCTCGTACCGTCTTGGTTTATCCAAATTCCCTTCCCTTGTTTCATCAAAGTAATGAAGGCAATTCACAACGAAGCAGCTTCTACCGAAGACTGTTGCTTCTTGTAAAAAGTACAATTTATGAATTACGATAGTACAAAATTATTATTGCACATTTATAGAATTTCAAGAGTACATATACGATTGGTACACAGTTATACGCCTGTGGCTTATTGGGTCTGTAAAGATAAACAACCTTACTGGATCATAGTAGAATTCGTCGCAACAACAATGTTCACAATAGGTTCGTCTCTTTGTGGCAATTCTTCCTAAGTAACTGAAATCCCGTCCCCGAGGATCGACCCTGAATAGACGGTTTGCCAATATAACGAGTAGAGAACCCTTCGTTTCTCGCAAGTCCTGATCCTGTTAACGGGACTAGATTGCCACCACTAATGCGTAGAATCCTGAGCGTGAGAAAAGGTTTCACGCGTTTGTGTTCGTCTAAGTGATTCGTCTTGTATACTGAATTTTCTCAAATAATTACAAAGCAGCATTCTTTCCAACTCTTGTACAGACTTCCCTCGCGATCCAAACTGAAAGGCAGAAGAAGTTTCATATAATTTGTAGAGTGACCAAGAATAAAATGAAACTTATTTGACTTGTATGCACTTTATACCTTTTGTTTGAATATCTTAGATTCTCCGCTTGATACAGTAGAACGTTTTTGTAACCAATTTGATATGCTCGTTGTAATATTTACATATGCATAGTATTTATCGCGTCTCAGGACGCAATGGGGGCATCGTACACCCGAAATATCCCACAGGACTCTCCATATATCCAAATCGCATTAGCCGACTGGCTGTTCCGCGCTAAGCTTCGCCCTGCTCGATTTGATATGCGTGTGCTAACCAAGTTAACGATCAGAAATGACAGATGGTGGGTAGGAGGATCAGTTTTGCTATCGTTAGCTATGCAATTGCGTATGAATGTTCATTTGGATCTTGATACCAATGATATTTTGATTGGCAATGAGAAATTTAGGGAAAAAGTGAAAATTGGATTGAACCCAGAATACATTAACGATTACCGATACACGAATGATAAGATTCAAAAGAATATTTCAAGTTTAATCAACGACAATACATATGGGTCTACTGTAATGATTTCATCTGACTTTTTTTACAATGATTTTTGCAAATGTCGATGGAGTATAACCCGGAACGATTAGCGATACTTTAATGGCAGGGAACCTGGCACTCATCGTAATTGTCTCAGAAGGGAAGAAAAGAAACGAAAGTAAAAGAAAAAAGAATAAAGAAAAATTGCCGAACATCTCGAACTTTCAGAGATCGACGGGAACCTGCAGTTGTGGGTGCGACGACCCACAACGGTATAACACAGCAAGTGCTTTGAGTGGGCGATGGTTACTTTTATGCCTCCTAATTATACATTCTTTTGGCCGTCAGTTCAAAATTTTAGGGTTGCATTTAGAGCCGGTCGAATTTTTCCTTTGACTTTTGTGCGAATTTCTCTCACGGACGTCGATCGCTCTCCTTTCGTTACCGATATTCGCTGAGGTCAAGCTGAGAATTGTCAAATTCTCTGAAGAAAGATTCTGCAAAGTCCCATGGTACATCTGAAAGAAAGAAAAGCAATAAGAATAAATGGAATGTAAAACAAACTTTAACAAGTGTCTGTCCACAATCACAAAGCACACTTACACACTCCATTGGCTTAATGATGTAACGGTAGTGCATCCAACTATGCACTTTGGTACCTATAGATATCAGGTTCGTGTCGAGTGGGACACGCTATTCTCACGCATTGATGCACGCGACATGTGATGAAGGAATTCGGAGGTACGGCGAACCGAGAAATAGTTTAGCCCGAAATTGTCTGAAGAAGCATTGTTCTCACAATTATCGTGCCCTACAGTTTTAGGAGCCGAGAAGCACGAAAGTCTAGTCCTGCTAACTGCTAACCTCTCTCTTTCTCTTTCTCTTTCTCCCTGTGAGTTGAACCCTTCACTTTGGCGTGGCTCACCTTTGGCTGAGAGTTTGGTATCGGGAAAGGAGCGTGTCCGGGAATTTCAGAGACGTCTCAGCATCCCGGCATCTCGAGGTCTCAGGATGTTCACGTCTCAAAGTCAATCCATCTATTGGCGGATTGCCTCTACTATGATTTAGGATTGGACGAGAGAATCCTAAATAAAATGATGTGGCGTCATTAAATTAACACTATAACATATATGGCGATAAAATATATCTCACGGCATAATCGACACTGTGTAGTCTTCGTAAAGGCCTCCGTTCCATGATCGTTCTCCAAAGCACTGACGAAATTAAGAGGCATTTATCTGGCTGCGAAGTATGATTTATGAACGTTTGAAAAGAAGAGGGATTCCTTGTCCGTAGTCTTTTTTCGTTAATAACCGAGGAGAGTGCCTATTAAGTTTACAACGAGGTATTTTTTGAGTTCATGAATCATCGGGAATCTTCGTTCCTGTGAAATTTCTAATCGTATATACGTTATTCTCACTTCCTGTTCCTGTCAATTTTTGATTTGGTTTAAATTACTCTGATTTTTTGCACGAGACGAATAGTCTGACAGATATATATGTTCTGTTAGATACTAACCGTCTTTAGTAGGCAGATTTGAAAGATTGAACTGGAGTTACCCCGAGGTTGTCTCTATGGTATGTGGACACGGTTGAAATTAGGGTTATAATCCCTGGGTGAGTCCCTATCCTATGATAGACATCACCCTACACTTTACTCGACTATTTACCGATAGTATTTTAACCCTCGATTTGTCGTCAACAGCTTTCAGGTCCATTGGGAGTCTGCGTTTAGTATTTCCCTTGATATAGTCTTAGAGACTATCTGTGTCTATTAGCCATACTGGAACCAGAGAGTAATCAGCCTGAATAGTCCATACGCTTTGGCAATGCTCTTTTAGTTACTCTATTTAAATATCCTTGCCAATTCACTGATATTTGGTTAAGGGATGTGTATTGCCTGAAGTATAAATGTATATCTTGGGCAGCATATGGGATGAGATAGCCACAATCTGAGTGAATTTTTCCTGAAAAAAAAAGAAAAAAAAAATACTCATTTGAAAAAAGAAAGCAATGCCTCAGGTGTCTGGTTGTTGCATTGGATGAAGAATATGCAGGGAGGTAAGAGAGAAAGAAGGAATGAAGGGAATGGAGAGGATGATGATTGCGCGGTGTTGAGGAGGGAGGAATAGAGGTTGGAAACCGGAGGGATAGGGAACCTCCCGTTAGGAGGTTGGAGAGCGAGGGAGCAGTCGGAGAATTTCGATAATTCCCTTTTTCGTGCGCGATGCTCCAAAGCGTGTAACTCGGGCGAGATCAAAGGCGTCAGTAGCACCTGTCCTCTAACCCCGCTCCTTGTCATCCGGCGGGATTGCGTTGGGATGCCTGGATGGTTGAAGCTGTGTAACGCTGTTTGCAGTTTTGATCAAAATGCCATGGTTGTACGTATTTTGAAGAGATACCATACTATCTCAGCACTTTGCTCCCTTTGCTATTATTCGTTGAAACTTTGGATCATATTCCAATTATCTTTATTGCAGACCGGTAGGTTCTACCAAGCCTGACCCTTCTACGATCCGCCATTGTAATCCTTATCCGTTCGTGTTGTAGAGATTACTTGTCCGCCATTTCTAAAGCAAGTATTTTGATCATTGTGATTAACTCAAATATAACTTACCATTACGTAATTTCTATATAAGTCTTATTAAACTTTTCCTGATCACTGGCAATATCTTAATTATTCCGTACCGACGATAGAGGTCAGAGGGTAAAAGTGGCGACACGCAGTAAGGTTCTGATGAAACTCAAGGGGACGACGAGGACGTTGAGGACGACAAGGAGGACGATGATAATGATGATGATTCCGCTTAATGCTGCGAAGCCTGTGGCCGAAACATAAGTCATCCGCAGAGCCGGAGGGATCCCGCGAAGAACCCTAGAATTATCGCTAAACGTTAGTGCCTAGGCTCTATAGATCTTACGTATAAAATACCAGGTTACATAGCTCATGTGGTTGGATGCGAGGGTGGACCCGTAGAAGAACTAAACCTAGAATTTCGTCGGGGTATTTTCTTATCGACGCTCGTTACCGATCGGGTTAAAGACTCGCCTTAAAGTCAAAACGTTCAAACGCCAACATTCAACGCCCTCTCTTTCACGATGCCGAAACCTTTTAAGTTTCAGTTTCATATTGTATAACTTGCTTGATTCTGATTCCTTGTTAAAGTTTACAATGTGACGTGTGTCTGATGTGCGATGTACAGTTTATCTGTTTATTCTTTACACTGAGGAACGAGGATGTTGTGCGCCAAAACTGGGCTTTGTTCAACGACAGCAATTAGACAGTATAATATTACTGCATTGGACTTTTATAATATTCCGGCACAAAGATCAAAGCTCAACATAGCCATGGCTTCTCCCTATGGAATTACGTCGTTTTGAATACCAGGTATGTCCATACCTCTAGTATTTCACTTTGTTTTATGTTAATAACCTGTCTACATAATAAAACCTGGACATGACGCAACACCGATTCCTTTTCATTGCTTTCTTTCTTCCTTCCTTCCTTCCTTCCTACCTACCTACCTTTCTATCTCCCATTATGCATATTCGTTTTTACTATATTTACTCGTCTATTATGTTCCGAGCAATGGAGATCCTTAATTAAAATACCCTGTCATTAAGCGTTAATAGACATATTCACGAGGGGCTTTTCTACGTTTATACAATACGTATTGTACACGGCGGCCATTTTATATAGAATGATCTCCGGCGCCTAAACACAGTAGCGTATGTCGTGCTGTAAGGATTTCAGGAGAATGTCAAGATTGCGGCAACCACAATCACTCAGAATGTCCTTTTCGCTTAGAGCGCTCATACGTCCTATGAGAAACCCCTTTCTTTTTTCATCCATGGCCAGCTTATGGGTATACGTATAAGATAATCGATAATATTTGAAATCCATCCTATTCTAACCATACTGCATCACAAATTGTCCATATGACATTTTTTTTACATAGTACAACTTGATAGTTTCTCTCTCATACATAATTACACAAAAAAGACAGCGTAGCCATAGGCATTGGTGGATATAAAGATCCTCAACTCCAAGATTCTACACGATGATCCCGTTAATCGAGGCTTTTTGATCTCGCAATCTGAGGATAATAATAATGTCTTAGCCGTTCTAGAGGCTGGCGCTCGAGAATTCGCTTTGTGACGCAGTGACCCGTATGATTAGCGAAGTTCGGTATGTACCAAACGAGTCTCGCTGGTTTCAAGGATGTCGTATACATCGTCGAGCAAAGCTAAAGTTGTTGCACTCTGCAAGAGCATAGGCCTACGTTTCTTCAGTCTAATTGATGCCATTTTGAAATTATAAGCGTGTCTATGAACTTTCAGTCTTGCATTCATAATATACACCGGCAATAACACTGTAGTACTGCAGGATGCCTGAGCTACCTGACTCGACGGAGCACATCCAAGAATATTTGAGAAGGTAGTAGAAAAAAGAGAGAAAGTGCGTAAAAGAAAAACAAAGCGACACTGTCAGAGAATTCGAATACTGCTGGCTTTTCGGTCGAAGCAATTTGTCAGTGAACGCCAAAGCCCATGCATACGATTATTGGAGCTCTCGCAGCTCTCCTATGTACCAAATGAAATACACGCCATGTTAAAACGACGGAGATTAATGCTTATTTATACGGAAGAGGCACTGCTTTTCTCTTGGTTGTCCAGGGCGAAACGCGCGTGATCCTTAATTCGTCACGTTTAACAGGCGGGTCTTCATATTTCTCTGAACGCGTGCCAGAGAGAGAGAACCACTGTATATACTCATGCATACTGGCTACATATGGATATAGTATACCTTACTAGATATATCTACAATATGCTATCTATATTTTCCACATATAATTTTTTTTTCACTTTCATACATCTGCATATAGGTAGACGATGCTCGCGACTTTCAGTCCAATTTATTTGCACCAGAGGAGGATGTAAAATCAGGATTGTCGACAGCTGGTATCAGTCTCAGACCGGGGGCCGTAAATGCACGGACGACGAGGGATTCCCAACTTCACGATTTTTAGCCTCTGGCTAAAGTGCCAATGGAAAAGTTGCACTCGGAGTGGTTCGCTTTGTTTTTTCATCCAGGACATCCTGGAAAATTTGAAAAACGTTTTTAACCCACCGCCGCTCGCATGAGTACATATGTACTATGGGATATGATATCACACGTAAGGTATGTACAAATCTTGTACATATAGTTATACAGTCACCTCTGCATTTGAGAGGATATATTGCCATTTTCTATTTATATACTATATTCTCAAGTTATATTTCTAACTGGTCCTTTGTATTAGATGGACGCGTGTTTGCTTTGCACTGAGCTCATTAGTCGGATGGGTCCGTCTGGACGCGCTGGTGATTAAGATGGTCGTTATGCTATACTAGCAAGGCGGGGCATTAAAAATCTCATCGTGATATATTACTGATATTTGTTTCGTTTCGTTTTCAATAAACGCGTATAGGTATAGGGTGGACACATGAGAGAGTGTAATGAATCCCGTTTGCGTGAAAAATTACAAATTCGTTAGAGCCAGGAAAGGGAAACGAGTCAAGTAGTAGGATAACCAGCTTACGGGGTTGCGTATATATACGCGTGTATATTATATATGTATATTGTATAGAGTCCTGAGGCACGATGATGCATGCAAGTATGTTAATGCACGAAACCTCCGTCCATTTTGGATAGCTATGAATATTCAAGAACATTCACGAAGGTCAGTTTAACGAGTTTCGTTATACCTAATCGGTAATCTTAATTAACCCATCTTAACGGACTGTTTTAGATAGACAAGATTTTCACAAAGGTCCTGTAATCCTCTGGTACAACGACTTTGTCAATATGTCTGATATTCGATATCGTCGATGCTCAGATTCCTCTTAGATTTGGCAAAAATGATGGTAAGGTTTCGATAACAGTTTTTTTTTTAATTTATTGTGTCTGATATATAAATATATATACGCGTGGGTTTGAAAGTTGACCAAAGCACGTGGTGGTTCTAGTAAATTTCTGAGTACATCCTGGACTCCCAAAGGACTTTGCCAATTAAAGCATAAAGGAAGAATCCAATTACCGGTTATGTCCTACAGGTTCATTACCTCGTCGGTAAGGAGGGAACTTCTTCTCGTTTCTCTGACGTACTCCAGCACTAATTAAAATAAAACATTTTTCTTACGTTCCTTAGCCCATCACAAAACTTATTTCTTTCCCTGTTCTCTTATAACGTTTTTCTCCCTGTTTCTTAGTCTCGTTGAGCCCCGTGCCCTTTCAACTCTCTGATGCGGCCCTGGGCCACCCTCACCCGAGTACCGGCAACGCGGTTTCTCCCTGTTATCCAGCTCCACTACCAGAGAAGAAAGAAGGAAACGAAGGGAAGCTGGGAAAGGAGGAGCGACGTAGGAGAGGGGAAAAAATGAGGATGAAAAAAAAATCGGAAGGGAGATCCAAGAGTAAGACTGGATAACCAGCTTTGAAGTAAGCTCGCCATTTAGACGTTAAATAAAAATGTTTCCCCGTTTTTCTCGCGCTTGTTATAATTAATTCATGAGATAAAGTTTTTCTTCGGTATTATCTACCTATCTACCTACCAGCGTTGTGGCAGGAGGTAGCCGTCTCTATGGTTTATAATGTAAAGTGAAACGGTAGGGCTCTTCTGACGGTGAGCTCCTTTGCTGGTAGGACCAGGAGGTTCCAAAAATTTGCGTAAAATCATAAATGCGCTACGTACTCATATTATCTAAGCATCCAACAGAATGCCCATTTTTCCTCTAGACCTTTTTAACATGTTTTTTATACTCAAGTGCATATATAATATATGTATATATAAATATGTACACATATACATACCGTAAAGAAGGGAGAGTGCATTCGTACGGTGTCGAATTTACTAACTTACCAAGAGCAGCCACGCTTATCAATCCTTACCGGATGTGCCATGTGGCAAACCAAACCACCTATTTTAATGCACTATTACTATGATTTATTAGGACTATCGGAAGTGTAGCAGTGGTACGCCCTGACGCCTTGGGGCATTTGCGAAAAGAAAAAAATAGGAGAAAAAGATTGGTATGGGGTGCATGAGGTTTTCATCCATCTGGCGTCACAAGGGAGTGAGTACATAATATGGTATGATTTACTTAGGAAATATTTTGTGGTTTTATAGTTAAAGTGCAGTGGGTGTAAGTGCATTGAATACCTGCAAAAGAAGAAAAGTGCTAGAGTGTCATCCTCCGTTGGAAAGGACAATGGTTGAACTGAACCAGGATCTAGCTGTGCTTCTAGGAGTATTCTGAAATGCAGGTGACGCTTCAAGAGATTGATTTTTTGAAGTGGATAAGTGCTGAAGTGCACGAGTGCATTGACACAAGGACTATAAGAATTGAGAAGGTGGTGCAGGGAACGCGGAACCTGGACTGGGAAACGAGAGGCATAAACAATGCAAGTATCTAGCAACGAAGGGGTTTTACCACTTGGCACGTAGGGCTCCCCGGCTCGACGTCCAATTACCAGCTGGACGCGTATCTTCATGGGGGGTCCTACACGCAATTGTTGTATTTCTCCATTGTCCCAACGCGTGATTGGAGCCATTGTTTTTCCTTCTTGTAATTATTAGAGAGGGAGATCGATATGCGGCCTAGGAAAAGATTTTGCGATATCCAAGACAGTGTTTTCCTTGCCGTGCATATTTTTTTTTTTTTTTAATGAATTTTCATTGTCACATTTAAAAGCTTAGTCCATTTTCGAGGTAGGAATTTTTCTTATATTACTTTGAAATGGGAATAACGGTGCAGGAACGTTGCGTTGGAAGTACTGATGAAATTTTTTTCCAATCAATTTTCTAAATCCAGTAAAATACAATGATTTTTTTTTAGCAATAAAAATGAAAAGGAGCACATGTTTTTTATAACGTCATACATCTATTTTCCTCTCGTATTGCCTATCGATATGGAGTGAAATTCCAATCAATGCAGAATGTTGAAATTTAAAAAAAAATACCCACACATGAAACGGGTCTCCTGTCTGCCGCAGTCAGCTGCCTATCAGTTCAAACGCTTGACGTTTTCAATATTTAAAACTAAAATCCGACTGTGCGCTATCGATCAGTGCGGTCGGAGTTCCAATAAAAGATAAACTTTGTAAAATTCCATCTCCCTCCGTAAAACCAGTGGTACGAGAAAAAATAATCCAGCAGTACTTGCGTAAGATATTTAAAAATATCAAACCAAAATAAATTCATTTAAGAATGTGTTAAAAATTCAATCTATTCAGAAAAAGGATTTCTAAACGGCATGGCAATGTTTTATTAATTTTACACATTCATATCTCTATACAAAATCTACTATATCCAATATGGCGTATATGGTACTACGTGACCATTCGATAAAATATAGTTCACAGCCAAAATTTTTGCGGCCTGAGTTTCTCTCTGTGTGACATTTCCCTCTAGCCGGAGGCGCAATAGTGTATTATACTTCCTCGTGGAATAAAGATCCTTTGACAAAACTCTCCCCAGGGATTTGCTGCTGGGGACCACTATATGGCCACCAGGAAATGACTGAACCGCGTTTGGATATTGCATTAAGCTCAAGGCGTTCCTCAAGAAAGATAGGAGTCGACCAAGTCCTGCTTGTGTTGCAAGTCGTTTAAGCTGAATCCACCTGTCGTTTTATATAGTTATTGCAGTAGCAAACGTATCTGAACTCATGGCGATAATGTGCAATTACCTTAATTTAAAATTTTTTAACGATTTTATAACACACTTACAAAGTAGGTCTCTTAAGATACCTAGTTTCATATCTGTACACGCGAGAACCGAGTCTTCACTGTTTAAGGATCCCTTGCAGATCGGTCGCGAGCTGTAAGCGATGAAGACATAAAGCCGCGTCCACGTGTAATTTAGAGTTCTTAACTCCCAGTAGGTGGTTGGCTACCACCTGGGGCTCGAGACACCTTACCGTGCCAACGGCTATAACGTCACTTTCTTTTACCCTTCTCGATTCTTTCTCCACTGGCGATGTTTGCGCTCATAATAATTATTTATATTTATATGAATAATTATCGGGTTTGCTTAATTGATATATAATACGTATTCTGCTCCTTTTTCCCGCGTTCATGCTGATTTCCTTCACGAGGTGTAATTTATAGTAGGAGTGTATATTCTTTTTCTTCTATTGGAAAAGACGTAAGGAATGTTGTTGCGTTGGGAAAAATACAAATTTCAATTTTTTTTTTTCAGATTAAAGTGTACTCGTGGTCCAGCGATTGGCCCGTCAACGGAGTCAAGGTTGTGCGCTGGATGCGGGCTATTCGAAAAATGCGGCTTTCGTGCTGGGAAGACATTTGCCGGCACTCGCGTCGCCAAACGAGAGATAAGTCGACATTCGACGTGGAACGTACGAGGCCCATTACTTTCAATTTATGCTCCCTTCGATTCTTAAATCCGCAAACTTTCGGAGACCGCCCGTCGGCGGATTCGCGTCGACCAAGTCCGCCATTTATTTAACGGCGCGCCGAAGATCTCGAGAACGAGCTGGCTTTTCAGCCAAGGCGCACACACGGTATTAGGTAAATCACGAACATATTACACGTCACAATCTAGTCTAACTTCTTTTTCTACACTGTGTATAAAAATTGCCAAAAAATCAATAGCTTATCACAGACGATTAGCTATCAATTTCTTTATTCGTGTAAACTTAGTTTTTGACATTATTAAAACCTAACAAATTCATTACAGTTGAAGCTGAAATACCAAACTTTCCAGACGATGAATTTCTTGTACGAGGGTGCTGGAAAGTTTAATAATCCAATGCAGGATGAAATTTGGAAAAGCCGAAGAAAGCGTAGAATGAAGATGAAGGCGGTATAAAGAGAAGTAACGGTCGAAGAACGTGTAGCAGCCTCTCTTGTACCTAATACGATCCATTCCAACCTGGTGGGATCGAAGTGAATTTTGAAAATGTATGCGCACACGGCCAGATTCACAAGGAGGGTTGTAAACCCTGCCTAAGGCTAAGTTAGAAGGGAGCCCTTATTCCGCACTAAATTTCACCCTATACCGCACATAGAGAGCCATCCCCCTTTTGGTTTGTCGTGTGTATACGAGTTCCGTGCCAAGGCAGTGACCCACGAGCCAACATATTGGCATTGTTTGAGGAACGAGAATTGGGTGGCGAAGTGGGGTCCAACGATGAGACCGATCGATCCAGCAATTAGACTATATTAAAAAAGAAAACCACCAACGATTCTACCTAACAATTTACACCACCAGTATAATTGCCATCTGTTACGTGCCAACGCCTTACACAACTCGTAGACTCGAATACCACAAGTTCAACCTTGCAAACAGTGACACCACTTCACTAAATAACAGAATGAAAAATATTTTAATGAGCATTATAAACACGTGGTCTGATCTTTAAATCTTACTCGTTACTACAAGTGCGCAGACACTTCGTACGGGGTGAAGTTATGAAGTTGAAAAGGTAGTGACTATACTGTATCGTTGGTCGAGGTTGGCTTCACTGTAGTTAGGCAAGTGAAGCGAAGGAGGTGGTATGGCGCGCGGTCTAACCTGGAATTTGCCTCGCGGTCTCCGGATTCTTTGATAATTGAGGTCTAGTCGCGGAGCGGGGTATTTGTTCTCTTCACTTAAATTCGAACCGCCGCGTACATTCCCATATTACGCTGTTTCGTGCTCGTGCGCTTCTCTTATATGGTGCTCGTGTGCTGGTACGGAATGTAGCGTGCGTGCCGCCCACGCTGTACACGCACGCACTCCTCTACGCGTATATGCACGCACATTCACGCATACCCTTCACAAATTAAACTCACGCACAGCCCCGGGGCGGCGTGCCAACTAATGAGAGACGCGAGGGAGCGCGATGATAAAGTCTCCGGTTAGGTAATGTTCGATCTTCCAGCTACGTACGTACGAATCACATGTCCTGAAGTATCTATCTGATACTTCTTACTTACATCAGTAACTTATTAGCTGCTCTCTTTATGAACTGTTTTTTTCTTATATTTTGGACGATTCTTTGTAAAAGATTTATCGATAAATCTTATAGGAATTGTTAGGATATAGTTTTTTTTTAATTAGAATTTAATAATTTTAGATTCTCGATATTTGAGATCTAACTAGATAGATATGCTACTGGCGTGGTCGACTTACGGAAAGTCATAAATCCTGAGCTTTTCGATTTTACCGATTGGCTCCCTGCGGGAGACGGTTTCTGGTTGCAAGGTGAAAAATAGTTGGTAGTGACGTATTACTTCTAGGGAGGCACGAAATGCTTGGAAATGGCTCTATCGAAGTAAATCTTGGAATAAATCAAGTGTAGCGAAGGTATAACAGCTATGAGAATAAGAGGAGAAAAAAAAAATTATATGTAAGAATGAAATGAAACGGGGCTACTCGTAGAGTCATGTGCTGGGGTCAGATGGTACTGGTTTGGGAGGTGGTGATTTCGAAGCATGTTCGCACCGTGGGTGTCCACTCGAATCCATGATAAGTTCGGAACTAATGTTCTATCACGAATTAAGAGCTGTATCGATAAAGTTATAACAGTCTGAGCTTCTTTATGGAGTGGTATTTTTACGAGGAGGATTATACACGAGTTTTACATGGCTTTTAAAATGTTACTTGATCACGCTATGCTAGTAACTTTTGGGGATGATGCATTTTGACTAAGATTATTTTTTTCTCCGCTTGACAGAAGGAGGAGGACAAGGACGAGGCATAGCGAGAGGGGAGGAGAAGAAAAAGAACAACAGGATGCAAGAAGAAAAGGAAGAGAAGAAACCTGAAAGGCCGTTGAATCTGTGAAAAAGGATTTGTTTTTCCAAGCTGTATCCAAGCAGCTACGAAATACGCTTGAGAAATCGCCCTGTGAATTTCACTGTGAATCCATCGATATTCCATTCGCCATCAGGGGTGCGTTACTCTCCCCTCGAGTTCTCTTCTGTACTTCAAAGAATCGTGAAATCGTTCGGATTTCAAGTAGGCAACGAGAGATTAGGTTTGCACGCCGAGGTTCACGGCCGCGAGACCAGAACACGTTAGGCCCGACTGGCAATTTGCATTTTATTATGGCCGAAGCCTTTCGGTTTCGACGGCGGCCCTAAGTATCTGCCAAGAATGCATTATAACTACGTGCATTCTCTTCCTTCTCGAAGGGTTATTCGAAAAAACGCCCCCGAGAAACATCGGCACGACAGAATTTCAAGTGCGGATTGGAGCATGTGCTCCCTGCTTTTTTACGAATGTAATGCGCAATGCTATCTGCATTGGGAAACTAGTTTGTATAAAGCGTCCACTGTATTTACTATGCGTTGTATGCACTTGTTGCATCTGTAATTACTGAACGATACATTTTATACGTTTAGCATAGATTCCTTAAATAGTATGTCTACGTAAAAGACACCGATCTGTTTGAAACGTATCTTCGATGGTCTCTTCTTTTTAAAAAATTTTTTTCTCTTGGGGTTAAAGAAATTCTGAGTTCGCAGAATTCTAGAGCGGTACGTCGGGGATAAATTTTCAATAAAAGCAGGGCAACTTGTGCTAGGAATTGAAAGTGGAAGACATGTAACCCTGAAGTCTTTGTAGGCGTAATTCTATCGCAAACTGATAAATACACGCACAGACAGAAAATATTTTGAAAGGCGGATTCGCCACGCGCTTGAGTCAACAAGTTTCTCCTCCGTTAGCGACTGAGTACACGAGAGAGCGATAGATTAAGATTTTCAATGGATCGAGTGACGAGAGACCGAAATGTTTTTGGAAAAAATCACTAGCAATATCCTAATTTCATGGGAGGAAGGTCGCAGCACCTGACGGCCCTAGGCTTTTCGAATTGCCTTGAAAGGATCTTGAAAAGATCGCAAGGATTTGCGGTCCTTCAAATCAATAGGGATAAGAATCGCATGAAGGCCGATCCTTCCTCAATAGATAGACATACAATGGTATAGCTCTTCTATCGATGGGATTACCTAATGCACTGAAAGGCTGTATTCTGGGCCTTATAAAAGAAGGGCCTTACATTTCATAATAGAAAGCTGAAGGACATATCTGTAACCCATGAAAATGTACACGAGATTCGTGACATCGGATGACAAGATAAATTATCTTATCTATTTTATAGATTAATAAAAGTACAAGCAATGTAATTATAGACTTACATGTAATCGGAGCATGTTATTTAAATAGCATGTATGCACGTCATTACATGGCAATGAGTACGTCACTCTTATCTCATGACTCGTATGCGAATTCGCAAGGTGTTTCCAGCAGGCAGATCGTGGAGAAGTTAGGTCATCGGTTCCGATAATTAGGTAATTAGGGTAAGATGGCCCTCGTGGCTATCTTGATGCAGAGAGTAGATAGTACGTGCAGGTAGATATGTACTTTGGTAGTTAGTATATGTTCATCTAACCACCAATAGATAAACACATACGCAGCTTGTGCAGTGCTCTGGGCTCTCTCTCCTATATACGTAAGCAATTTCACTAGTAATTTCCACCTTACATCGGCGAAACTTCAGCGATAATGCCGCGGTAGTTAAATTGCATTAAACAAGCGAGTTACAGTGTTACAGGAGTTCGACCGCAGGCCGCGACTATGGCGCCAGCGTTGCCTACCATAATGAGAATGATTACTTTATTCCTATTAAGCTTATCATTACTACTCGTTCCTATGTCAGACACTGATAGTTTAATTCATTAACTTAATATAATAATATTGTTTGATCTCATGGAAACATAGAAATTGTAATTGAGTTGTTAATGTAAACTGACTGTTATTCAAATTTTCATAATCACGCGTGGTTTGTTTAGAAACAAATATTTTATGTTACAAAGTGCAAGATATAAAACTTGTTACTTGTTTCTGTGTTTGCGATATTTTAATGAAACACTATTAGATGCGAAGTAATGTGTAGATTATTTTGTATATAAGAACCGCCAAACAGCGTATCACTATTTCATTAAACGTCCGGGCTACGTGACAGTGAAATGACTGCTCTACTTTCCAATGTTATTTTTACTAGACGCTAAACTATTTTTATTTAAATTTTATCCTTATTTGTACTTCTTTATTCTCTGGTGTCAACTGTGACAAACGATTATTCAAGTTCGTTGCATTTGTCTCTAATGTTTTATTGTATTTTGTTTATGTAATGGGATTACTTTAATTGTAGGTATATCAAAGATTTTTCTGTGCTCTTGCATTCGGGAACTACATCAGGTTATTGTACTCTGCTTATAATATTCTAATCTTTCTGGGAAGTATTATTTTCTCTTAACTATGAATAACGTATAAGGTCCTGATATTATGGCTGTGTGAGAATTTACGATAGTTTTTAATTTTTTTAATTAAACGGGATATAATAAATTTTCTTCTCCCTTCTCTACTCTCTCTCTGGACTCTTTCACTCCGTCGCCGTCGCGGCAATTCTTCCTCCACGTTTCTTCATCACCATTTGGTTCTCTTCTTTTCACGTATCCTCCCGCTCGTTCTATTTGACTTCCTTTGATCTATGGACAACAAGCCGCAAGCTCGTATATTTTATACACTTTTCACGAAACAGAAGCGTCATTGATATAGTTTTTATATTCGGGAAAAAAATTGCCCTAGCGAAAAGTCGCTCGCTGCTTTACTCAGATCAGTATTTTTTTAGTTAAAAAATTTTTTAATACAGTTGTGAGATATTTCCATATTTTTTCTGCTATATGATTTTCTATAAAATGTTTTGCAACATTTGAGATGTTTATATTAAATTTTTTTAATGTTTTTCTTTCAATTCAGTAAAGCAAATCAAAATCCGTATAGATTTTCCTTTCGCATGAGGTTAAGGAAAAAATGTGCCGGGGACGATTATGACAACAACGTATCTCTGTACCGACAGCGTCGGACAAATATTTAGAGATACGAGGCGTCGCGGCGTCGGCATCTAAGATGGCGACAAACGAAACACCACGGCAGACTTATTGTAAGTTCTTATGAAATAATATTTACGGTATATCATTACGCATGATTTCATAAAACTCAACGTTAATTAACCTATGTAATGTAAACTGTATGTAGAATTTGCAACTGCGTTAAATTTGTCCGTACATAAAAGATATAACAAGTCGTCAATTTGTACATATGAATACGTATATTGCATATATGCATGATATAGAAGGGTTGTGGTTGTCGTAGCTCCAGGGCCAAGAGCATTGAATTTATGATTTTCGATTATTGTTTCCAAGCGATGCCCGGCGGCGCGAGGCCAGATAAATTATCTCTTCAACCTACGACGCACTGTCAAAAACAGAAAGCCTCCTCGGTTGTCTTCTTTTCAGTCATACAGGAAGTTTGAAATGAATCCGGTGTTCGCAAGATTGGTCTTTACATTACGAAGATGGATTTTACCTAAAAAAAAAAAGAGATTCGAGAAAAATTCAGACGCAAACAGGAACCGAATATACATTTTATTTATTGACATTTTATGTGTACCCAAATTGATAAGATATCATTTTTACAATTATACTTTTAAAGATCGAATTTGACTTTCGGTATTGTATACAATGCACTAGCGCCTCTAGCGGCGGTTTCAATTCGCTTCACTTGTACCAATCGTATGGCTCAGCAATGGCCACGGCAATAGGCTCTACGATACGCCCAGGGCGGTTACTACGGAATGCAATCGGGTGGTGGCTTCGAGTATCGAGGGATTTCGTCGTTTCAGTTGCGTTTTACGTGATACGAGCATTACGATATGCCTAGTGTTTCGACAGAAGCTGGGAGCTACTTGAATGCCCGAATGGAATCCAATTATACACAGTTAGTACCTTTTGACTTTCAATTTTTTTCCACTCAGTGATGCGCACTTGGAATATCATATTTGCAGATTCCTCTTGTTACTATTGCTATTTTCGAATGCTTACGATAACTGATTATGGTATACTATAAATTTCTGTTCATTTCATCTCGCGCTTAAGCAATTCTTTCATAAACGAAGTTCCTCATGCAGATTCTCGACCGTTTCTTCATGGCGTCGGTTAAGTTTACTCTTGTCGATCGAGTCACGATTTAACATAGGCGTGGTACCGTGCCGTATCTCGAGTACACTCTTCCAAGAAGATGGACGATTTGACCTCTTCCAGTAGAGAGCAGCTCGATTTTCTTCCTAGAGAATTGATCTCGGTAATCCACGATCTTAACCCAACCTCTCGTCTTAACGATTAACGCTAGCATTCGACTAGAAGATATCCAGACTTGGCCATCTTGAGTATAGAATTTAATTGTGAGTGAATTTCAACGTACAATTTATTTGGCTATTATTTAATTGATATATAATAATATTCCAGATGCGCTAGAAGGAGACAGTTCGAAGTGGATAACAGTGGAATGTCAATCATAAAACGGCTGGAAGAGTATTCCGCCATCTTTCCTTGGGTAGCGTATTCCATTTACATCCCAACGGTTACGAGTATTGCCTGCGTCACGTTACCGGAACTGGAGATACAACGAACGTCTGTTATCTAAACGAGAACGAAGCTCTAAAAAGAAATCGTTATACGCAATGGAACAGTCGCAAAAGTTACAATTGCTGCACATAAACGTTAGCCATATTGTATGGTACGGAGCCAACTATTAATTCTACAAAATCCAGCGTGTATAAAAGCCAAACTGGATCCTCTTCCATACGCAGTAACACAGTGCAGTATCGAGAACAGAGAAATCTCTAAAAAGGATATAAAAGAAAACATCTACGTTCGTACCTCTGGGTAAGTTTTAAAAAAAGATACCTAGTAATGAAATCTGTGAAACCTTATCAAAATCTCGAGGGGAAAGCAGTGAGAATGGAAATAAGACGTCGAGAGTGGTAGGGTCAGGCAAGCAGGCAGTCAGAAAGAAAGGAAGGCTATGGTGGTTCCAGTGAAGTTGCAACGATCGTATCCGATGAATCGGTATGTAGAGAGGGAAAGAGAGGGGCGAGCATCGTGGGGATATAAAATGGTAAATGGTAGGGTAGGAGGTCGTAGGTATCGCGAAGGTTTTCGTGGGAGGAATAAGGCTGTGTACTGAGTATAGGTGCTTCGTAGGTTGTAGGGTGGCAGCGTTATAACAGTGGGAATGGGGGGTTGCTGAGGGCAGGGTTGGGGCATCGATCGGACATGCGCAGAAGGTCGGAGGGTGCGGGACATCGCGCTTCGGCATCGTTGGTACCATGAGACGGGGGTGGCAACGTAACGTAACGTAACGTAACGTAAACGCTGCGGCGCTGGCTCCCTATGATATTATTGTATAGGTGCGGGTTGAATGTGCGTACGTATTTAACATTGCCCACGTGTGCGTGTGTGCGCGCGTACCCTCGGAGCGTCGTCATGTGACTGGAGGCGGTACCACACCCCCGGCGGCGGAGGCGCCACGGCGCCTTTCGCCTCGAGCGCAGTGCGACGTCGCGACGCGCCACGTGCAGTGCTGAGATCTAAAATCGTTTCTTCCCTTCCTTCCTGTGTAACGAGACTCGTCCGCTGCTTTGTATTTTAAATTATCCTGCTCTACCGACGCGCTCCGGGAGACACCATTTTGTTGACAGTGCCAATTCTTTTATCTCGTCTTTATTATCAGACATCGTTGCTACCGATTGCCAAGATATTTGCGGGACGATTAGCTGCTCCTCATATTTTTAACGTTTTATTACAAGGATGAACTTTTTTTTTATTTCGCTGCGATCATTAAAATTGCCTGTCTGATTGTTCTGATCAGGATTTCCTTTTTTTTTAGCTTTATCTCTAAGAGTGTATCTGGATGATTTTTACTGACGTCACTGGGACAGTGTTGTCATCGATGTTCCGTATGTTATTTAATTGTGAGATTGTCTCTTGAATTTTCTTTTGGTGCTTGCTTCTGAGGGAAAATTTTATTCAACTTTTCTTTACGTTTTATCGTGGCGTTATCGGTGATTTTCGCGGTGCTCTCTACATCGACGTGTAACTGAAGGTGAGTTGCAGTGGAGGATTTTTGTGGATCTGTGTTTTTTTGTTGTTGTTATTTAGTCGTAGCCGTCAATAATTGTCAATCGCAATCAATGCTGTTTATCATTGGGTGACATTTCTTGTGTAATCTGAAGTTTTAGAATCCGACGCGTTTTTCTCTTTTATTTCAAAGATGTCACGGAGCGCTTCTGCTTACTATAATTCTCGCCAATGGAAAATAGTATGTTCGGTTGAAGAGTTGATAGTAAAAAAAATTGATTTCAATAAATACTCAATGTTACGTATATTAATAGAAAAAAAATTTAATGAAATTGTCCTTTGTTATGTTTCCTGCTTTCTTTAGCATAAAGGTTAATGGGCGTTATTGTACAGTGAAAAAAGATAGAAGCAAAGGTGAAACCGCCGAAATAACGCGAGTGATTGTCAGGCGAGCGAGCAAAAATATAAATAGACGAAAAGTATGGAAGAGAAAGGAAGCAAAAGGAGGAATAAAGAAATGCGATAAAAGTAAAGAAGACACCGGGGTACCGCGAGCGGTCTTTGGGCGAGGGGTTCTCTTCGCAACCTTTCTCTCCGCGGGCATTTACAATTAAAAAGAGGTTGTGCCACCTCTGGGAGCCATATTTAACTTTGCTTAACTAAGTTCTCAATCCGTTGACGGAAGGCCCCCGGGAGTCGAGAACGTCGGCAGTATAATTTATTTTACAATCTTTTTTTCCGTCAATTTCTTCAAGCACCGCGGCGTGCGTCCGTGCGCTTCGCTCGGTCCTTTCATTTCTTTCCCTGTATAAGGTTCCGTGACACGTTACGTCATGATTGAAAAAAATTGAATTATCGTTTCAGATACTCCGGGCAAACATTCAACGAGTTAAAACATTCGAAAATTGGACCAAGCTCTTCTCGGGATGTGAGTGACAATAGTTTGGAAGACATCGCGACGGAGGACACGAGAAACGGCAACATGTCTTACCTTGCTCTGGATTCAAATGCTTGGCAGGTATTTGCATTAGAATAGTGAAAAATATCTATTTATAATGATAAATTTACTCCGGCATGCGCCGTTGACTTGCAGAGAATGAAAACTTTCAGGGAAATATTGTCCGAGGACGTTAAGACGTTCAGTTACAGCGAAGCTTGCCACGTTTTAACCAGACAGTAGTAAAGGAAGTAGGATAAATAAGACGAGTAAGCCAGTCACGGCTTATGAGATTAGCACCTTGTGGCGTCCTGGCTTCCCTGACGGCTTTCAAGTAAATGGATTACTTTCCACGAACGATGGGTACCCGGGAACCGAACATGGCGAATTCTCATACCGTCCTGATTCCTTGCTCCTTGGTGTCATGAATATTTATAGGAGCCATTTCCGTTCGCGTGTAATATCATGCCGAGA